CTGCAGCAGTCTGTATTAGCATAAGTTTGGAGTTAGATTCTTCCTCATCAAGTGTGTACTAATACGAAACAGTCTTCCGAAATACGCACGTCTGATGGGCTACACAGGTTTGTAAGACTTCCTGATAAAGCCCTCTCTTGTGTTGATATAGAACGCGTGAACACATCTGCGTCCTATCATAAACCTTCCACATGTCTAAACTATGTAGATCCCTAAGTTTGACTTCCCTTACTCTCCTTTGTAGTTGCACTGGATATATCTCCGTAGCCATAATAATAATATATTTCTGTAAACGCAGGTACACGCCGTTTTTACAGGCATGATCTACAAATCACAACATTGATTGACTCACAGTATGCTTTTCAAGTAGGATTGTTAAATAGATTATATAAATAAAAGCAAACAACAGCTCATTCGTGCAGATGTCTTGAAGCGTTGACGATTAGGTTTATGCTTTAGCATTATGCAGAGCACAGTCTACAAAATATTTTCCCAATTGGCATCGTGTTCACTTTACACACCAGATCCAATCTCGGCTTAATTGTGTTACAATTCTGGTCGAGCAAAGTATCTATGCTTACTTACTTACTTACTTACTTACTTACGCCTGTTACTCCCAATGGAGCATAGGCCGCCGACCAGCTTTCTCCAACCCACTCTGTCCCCACCCTTCCTTTTCTAGTTCTATCCAGTTCTTATTAATTCTTCTCATGTCTGTCTCTATTTCTCGGCGTAATGTGTTCTTTGGTCTTCCTCTTTTCCGTTGACCTTCAGGATTCCATGTGAGGGCTTGTCTTGTGACGCAATTAGCTGATTTCCTCAAGGTGTGCAATAGAACGTTTTAGGTTTATAATTGTGACAAAGTCGATCCTCAGAGTGCTTGGTGTGAACAATGACCTTGAGAAAACGCGTAAGCCTAGTTTGCTCCAGACGTCAGAATTTCCGTAGCTGTGCCCTCAGGGCAAGGTTTTGAAAAATAGAAACATAGAAGCACTAAGGTACTTGGATAGAACCGTTTAAAAGTGCTTAACTTTTTGAAGTGGAACAGAGATATGATAAGTTGGGTTAAATTTCTACTAGCTTTCATCGCTAGAGTGAAATGTGATCAGAGGCTCCAGATGAGAGAATGCAGTGATGAAGAACAATGAGTTGTGATATTTAACAAGATAGAGTAAGTTCGAATGAAGGAAGTCCGTTTATTAGAACGGAAAGTGAAGATAGAGAGTAAAGTGTTAGGAAAACTAATAACTATATCTTTTATTGTCTGATTTTTTTCCATTTTTGTTCATCCTATGCCAGCCACACAGTCCTAGTGTAAAAGTTCGCGTTAGCATGTTATTAGGATGTCTTAGTAGAATAGCTAATCATAAGTTCGAAAGTTGAGCGTAGGAGATCAACCTCAATATCACAAAATTGATTGACTTGTTCTCAATCATAAAAAGTCTGATACAAACAAAATGTTCTGCCCAGCAAACATGGGTGGATCGAATTCATCGCCCTCACCATCAGTGCTTGTTGGTCAGTAACTCCACCCTTCCTACTTTTGTGATGTTAGGCTCATTTAAGATTATTTCTGGATATACATCATACCTCGCAGAACGCTCTGTTTCGCATCCTGTTGGAAAACACTATTTCTATAACTACCATCTTACATGCTTATCAAGCAGTTACAATTTATAGACTGTGGGTAAGGCATCAATGCAATGCTTTAAAAGACTAAAGTAAAAAGTATAGGTTGCCAATCAGATTATAGGCATTAAGAAGTGTGTAATGTAGAATAGTAGAGTTATAGGTAGGGCAACAAGTGGTGAAATAAAATTGATGGCAATTCAACGCAGTGTACAAGAGAGTAAAAATCTGATAATGAATAGACAAGAAAAAACTCATATTAACTTGGTACTGATGTTATTTTGTTCTATTCTAACCGGTTTATGGGTAACAGAATCCATAGATGCATGATCATTGGTAGTAGGCAGTCAATTGTGCGGTTCTGTTGGCTTTTTAGGGTAGTAATGAGTGTCCCTTGGACACCGAGTTTAGTTGAGTAATACCGATAGGTTCAGTGAGTTACCAGTCTACTTCAAGTAAAAAAGTAGGGAGCATAAATTATCTAATACAACTGCAAAGTAGGAAAATAGGGCAAACTGAACTTAAAGTTCAATTCGGCCTTTACGTGTAGAGAGCCTATCATGTCTGTGTGGGGCGCAGGTATATTCGATCGTGCTAGATCAGTGCAAGCGAGTGCTCGACCAATAAATCTTACAGACTGATGTGTGAGCGAGAATGATAATGATTGGTTGTTTTGCTGAGTCAGACATGTAGATATTGTGTCAGGTGTTCTATGTGATATATCTGTATATTCCTTTCCTGATTATTATTGATTGACTGTTCCCTGTTATTGGATTGTGTCAGATTTTTGTGTAGAAATATATTGACGTTACAGTCAGACTAATCTCGTGTTCTTGATCTGAGTTGTGTTAAAGTACTGTAGAATAAACACTGGGAGGGAATCTAGTGTAGATATTCGTATAAGTTAAATTAACGTCCCACATACGTGTAAAAAGTGAAAGGACTGTTATAACAAGAAATCCTATCTTTACAACAATTATCCTACCTTTATAACACAAACATATGCAATTCGTCTGCCATGAGTGTTTCAGAGAGAAGACTGTTCCATATTAATTCGTGAGGAAAAAGTTTTCTCTAGTTTTTGATCTGTATTTCTCAACTTTGGCAGTAGACACTTTGTCTCGAAGGTTGTATCCATGTGAATCTTGATAGAGAAATACATTACATGTGGAATAAGTAAGGTTTTTGAGGAGTTTAAAGTAGAGAATCAAATTGGACCTAAGCCTTCAATTCCAAAGTGGTACCAGTCCTAAGATATGTCAACGGGAGCTGTGGTCAATGAGTGAGTCGGTCCTAAGTATTTTGAGGGTGAGATCTCGTTGTATTCCTTCTACCTTAAGTATATCGGATAAGCGTAGGTTGGAAAATAAGAACAAACATTATTCGACAATAGTTCTTACACAGACTTTAATAAGAATGATTTTAGATCCATTTTAAAAAAAATTACAAAGAATGATATAGAACAAAAAAGTATCATTACTGCTATTATTAATACGATGATTAAGAGGATGATGATAAAAAGCCACAGGATGTAAACAGCAATCATCTAAGGAATCATTTATATTACTATCATTACTACGAAGACTAATACGACTTCTACTCATAATACTACTAATGAAGTCATACAACTTTCGCATTTTAAATGCTTTAGGTGAGATATGTTCAGAGAAGTTAAGACTGTGAAAGTAATGCACCTCTAGGTCAGCTACTGATGTCAGTCTGAACAGTATGTCATTGTTAAGTGCCAGTTTTATTTTAAGAGACGTGTCTCCGATACATAGCCAACCGCATTGCTCTGTGTTGAGCTCTAATCTCCAGCATTTGCACCGGTTGTCCATGATGTTGAGTTTGTGTTGGATTGTTTGCATAGTACTACATATCTCGCTAAGGCCAGTTTCATAGATGACTTTTAAGTTAGCAGCGTAAAGGCAGGTATCACCTGTGCTAAAGCACTTGCATACATTGCTGATGCAGATTGTAAAAAACAATGGACCCATGACACTACCCTGCACAACGCCACTGGTTGTTGGTTGAGGCGTAAATGTTTAAAAGCTAATCTTGGTGATTTGGTATATGTTTTTTTCAGAAAAGACTTGATCCATTGCAGTAGGGGGCTTACAATTCCAACTGACTGACGTCTGTTGATCATGAGGTACTTTATCAAAGGCTTTCTTAATGAATAATTCTTACCTTTGGTTCGATCTTACGTTGAAGTCATGGAGATAAAAGAAACGGAATTTAAAAGAGCCAAGCGAGTTCAATGTCATGGAAAAAATTTAAGAATTCAATTCACCATAAACCCTTATTTCAAAAGTAATTCTTTTTGCTGAATTCTCATACGCTCATCATATTCGAGCTTTTGCTTTGGTTTGCATCTTTTGTTGGTTTTGCTGTGATCCTACATAATTGTCAGTGTCTTTATAACCATACATAAATGCTTTGAATAATACCATGTGTAGTGCCACTTTCTGAATTCCTAGAATGTAATAATGACATGTTTAGCGCTAGGAACCACTGAAAAATTTGAGACACAATAATATGTTTATAGCAACAGTGGCGTTTAAAAGGACGAGTGAGTTGTAAACAAGTACATGAAGTACCTGTAGTGAATATCCCAAATACGGCTCACCAGTTTGTAGTGGATGTTGAGTCGAGGACGGACTATGATCACCACTACAATTCGATTACGCGCCCAATAACGACTTGGTTCCTTTAATAGCTCGTAAATCAGAAAGCTTTATTAATCCAGATCAAATATATTTATTGGCGATCTCGTGGTATCGAAATAATACCGAGACGTGCCAAAGAGTACAGGCAAAATGAGCAGTGCGTGAGCAAGTTCGAACCAAACAAGGCGGAGAGCAAAACAAGAAGTGAAACTAATACAGTTAAACAAATACAGTAAAACAATCTCTGGTACAATTGGTTACAATAATAATAATTGTCTCCGTTATTCCAATCGTGTTCTTATCGAGACTGGCCGGTCACTACATACCTGTGTTTTTTGACACTACATCAGTTCCATAAAGCAGTTGAAAAATATGGACTCTTGGTTGTAGCAAAAAACTACAGGTAGATTGCACTCCGGTTTTTAGACTTTACTGTCTGAAACAACTCGATGAATACAGCAGTTATGGGATGTTTTAATTTAGTGTTTCCGTGTCTTCAGACATCTGAGTTGTCGTCTGCTAGCAGTTGTGAAGATACATTTAATGGAGAGTTTCTACGAAACATCACTGCATATTTCCGGCTTTTTAGCGAGTATGTTGACATTGACTAATTGTGAAGTAGTATGTGTCTTACACTGACATGTACTAACATTCCCTCAGTTTATAGCACATCCATCTACCCAAGATTACTCCTGTGACAATCTACTAGTAGGTTTGACAGATATACATTGGAAACCAAGCGATTTGGCCATTGGATACGGAATATAGCTGGCTTTGTTTTCTGTGAAGAACTACAGAGAACAGTTTGTTTTTACATCTGACTACTAATTAACAAATTCTGGAGGCAATTTAAGTGACGTTAGCAACGCGATAATATAGAAACAACTTTTGATTTATAATCGTTATTCGATTGATTGGTTGGATCTATAATTCTAATTGCGCAGCTGCAGTTAGTCTGAATCTGATTGAGCTGGGGATATACTTGCATTTATTCGGGGGATTTCAACGGCAATTCCAGCCAATTGATCGTTTTGCTCATCACAGTTAGTATGCCAATTCCCGTGAGTTCATACTTATTGTTAAAATGATGCACACACTATTTTTTCAGCTTTTGGGAGCAAAGTTAATACGACTCATACGGTCATTGCATATTATTTGTCAAATAATAATGAAAAGTCGGTAAATTTATCCAAGCAAAAAGTACATCTACCTTCTTTATTGCTTATATACAGTTTTTTAAAAGCTCAAAGCATACGGAACCAAAATATGTTGCTAGTGATACCATACGACTAGATATTCAGGAGTTAGGCAGAAATAAAGATTACAAAGGTCTAGGTGGATGATATATTCGAACGACGGTTCAAATGGTTCAAATGGTTGAGGACGGAATAGAAGAAGCTTTCGCTCAACGGGCTTCCGTGTATAGTAGCAGTGGATCACCAGTACCTCCAGGCAAGAACCTAGGTATATAAACGATAATAGAGGAAAAAAAAGAATTTGGTAAATCATAATAATATGTTATCCTTAGTCCTTAAGAATAAGTCAAGTTCCCTCTAAAAGGACTCCTGGGAGGTCTCTTGGACTAGCTCAGTCGGCAGCGAATTTCAGAACTTGACAACTCTAACGGAGTAGAAGTTGTGTCTGCAGTCTGTCCTGCTATGTAGGGTCTCCAATTTCTGGGTGTTACCTCTCAGGTTAGTGTTATGACTAAGCTCAAGAAGATGTTTAAGGGGATGGCCAGAAGTATTAAGGATACTATAAGTCATAAGAAGATCACCTCTAAGACGCCTGTACTCTAACGGGTAAAGGTTAAGTGATTTGAGGCGCTCTTCATAAGGTTTGAATTTGAGTCCCCGAACTGATTTCGTGGCTCGACGTTGTATACGTTCCAGAGTGTCCTTATCCTTTTGGAGGGAGGGAGGAAATACTATGTTTCCGTACTCTAAATGAGGACGAATAAAACTGTTGGAGATTATATGGAAGGTTCTACCGTCAAACTGGCCAAAAATGCGCTTCAATGTTACCAGTGCAAGGTTTGCTTGAGAGGCGTTTTTGTCACAGTTAGCATACGATTTCAGGTCATAGGGTACCAACACTCCTAAACCTTTTTTAGCTTGGGAAGCTTATAGAAGGGAGTTAACTAAGTTATAACTATAGTCTGCAACATGTCTCAGATGGACTACCTTGCACTTTGAAGTGTTGAAGGTAAGTCTGTTGTCGTCTGCCCAACTTTGAAGTCGGATCAAATCCTCCTGAAGAACTAGTATATCATTATGATTACGTATCTCTCTCCAAAGTTTCACATCATCAGCAAAAAGCAATAAGTCAGATGAAACTTGTTGAGGAAGATCGTTAATATAAATCAAAAAGAGAAGAGGTCCTAGTATTGAGCCCTGGTATATGCATTGAACGTGAAACTATTAAGCTAACTGCCTAAAAGGGTGATGTGTTTGACGTTGACCGTACTGAAATATGTCCACAATGCTTGGTCAACTGTCCTCAGCAGGTATTGTCCCCTTGAGTTTGATAAAGTCATCTGAATGTTTACAAAACCACTTATTTTAAGGAGTTATTTACAGTTACACGTCACTTTTCAGGAAGACATTGACATTATGCGTGTAGTCGTGTCTTGGTTTCTTTGGGGTCATTGTACAGGGTTAAGATTCTGATGAGCACTTTAAAATTTGGTTCGGAAAATTTGTAACAGAGTTTTGAATTTTATTATGGGGTGTTATACACAATCATTTTTAAAACAATCGTGTCTTTTTTGGTGTAGTAAGATAATAGAGTTATCTAGTTGTTGGTAAGTCATGTGATTTGACATAGTCCGCATTTTTTTCAAACTAAAATCATTCTTAGACTAAGGAGAAAGTGCTTATAAGATTTAATTGTTCAAAGTAATGCACTCCAAATAAATGTATGGACGATATCGTCGCGATAATTAAACCATTTTCATTCAATTAACAGAAACGACTAACAAGTAATGTATTTGTTTTGCATTACTAATTCTTTAATTTCGAATAAGTCAGTGTCTTTATATAAACACAGAGAAAGCAGTACATAATCGGGTATTAAATTCCATCTGTTAGGGTTTCTAGTTTATCAACATGATTACTAGTTGATTAAACTGTTGTCATATGTTAAAAGTACTTATATATGTTAAAAGTTTGATGATTTGCCTAATATTTACGTTTTCCTGTTGATTCAAGTTGAGTCGATTTTGAAAAATGGTATGATGAAATAATCTGTTAAATGATGTTCTATTATGTTTGAATCAAAGTAAATTTGTCAGAGCTTATAAATGTTATTCTAAAACAGTTTGAAGTTATTTGCTGGCAATCATCAATTCTGTACTCTACCTGGTAAGATACGAAGGCCCTTTTAGTTGAATTCATTCGTAGAAACCGATCAGAAAACAGCCGTTTTCGATATTTCAATTATTATGTTAGACGGCTAATTTCAGAATCTTATCAAGAATATGTACCCAATAACTTAATGATACCTAAAGACATCGAAATCAAGAGACGATATTTGTCTAATATACGCTACAGTTATGATAAACAAAATATATATAAAAAAATTTAACATAAGTAGAAAAATAAAGTGTCCTAACCCCCAGCGGCATCTTCCAAAACGTTTTTGTAAGGAAAGTAAATCCTTCAGTCAGTTGAATAAAGGAAAACCTATTCCACATACAGTAAATTATATAACATAACACGTCAATGCCATTGAAAGTATCAACAAGTAGCGAAAATAAATGAGGCACTTTATTTTGGAAATAAACAAGTCGTTTAGGGTAGATACATTTTTTGAACTGTAGGATATCCAAGAGGAATAATTAAGTAGGGAAGAAAAATATTCTTGTAGCTAAAGGAATAAACTCATAGAGTGAACATAAGAATATTGATATATAGGATAAATGGGTTGTAGAAACCAAAGAATAACACTCATCATAAGCAACTTTTAAAAATGAACAAATGTACTCCAGCTACTTACTACTAATAAGTACGGTGTTCTACGAAGAGACAACAAAGAATGGAGTCAGATAACAAACAAATTTAACGGGAAAAAAGTGAGCAAAAGACATCAAGGACACTGAAAGTTATTTACTTGCACCTATTAATCCTCGTAAGGCATAGGCTACCGGCTAGGATTCTCCAACAAACTATGCCCTGGGTAATCCTTTCGAGTTATTCCCGAGTGGCATTCATTCGTTTGATGTCTGCTTCTAATTCTCAGTGCAATATGTCCTTCGGTCTGCCTCTTTTCCTTCTACCTTCAGGATTTCAATTTATTTCTACGTTGTAACTGACTGACTGACTGATTCCAATTTATGGCTTGTCTCGTGATGCAGTTCGATGATTTCCGCATTGCATGTATAACCCATCTCTAGTATTTTTTCTAATTTCCTCTTCAGCTGGAAGCCGGTTTGTTCCCTGCCACAGTGGGTTGTTGCTGATAGCATCCTGTCAATGGGTCTGAAGTATCTTGCATAGAGAACTGTTTATAAATACTGGTACTTTTTGATGATGGCTGTAGTATTTCTCTACTTCTCAGTTCGGTACAATGGAGCTGTCTTGACGTTTGTATTGAAAATTTTGACTTTTGTCTGACATTTGCTTTGAGTTCCGTATGATCTTCAGTTTTAAGAATTTTGCCCTTCCCTTACTTATCCGTGGCTTCAAATATTCGTCAGATCCCTCTTGTTTATCAATGAATACTAGGAGTCATAGAAAATATTTAACTGCAAGGATCCTTTTTCGGATTAGATTCGTTTAAATAGTGGATTGGCATTTCACTCTTTTCATTCTGAAACCACCAACTTGTAAAAATATCAACTCAGAGATTCGATATGTTCTTCACTAAACGGTATTTAACCATTGATCAGTTATTTCGTTTGTATATCTCAGTATTCAATGGCAGCTTCTTGTCAAAAATCATCATTCGTGGTTTACGACATAAACCCTGTTAACATCACAGTTTGGTTGGTTGAATACAGTATTGAGCAAATGATTTACTTCCGATCATTAACTTAGTTTATATAAAACAAGTATCAACGGTAAAAGAACTATTTTTTACTGCCTACGAGTAAAAGTATATTTGTAGTCTAAGTTAAACTTACCTTTACATATTGTTATTGGTTTCAACCATCTCTATGTGGGATTCCCATTTGATATATTAAAATCACTTCGATTTCATTTTAAAAAAGTCTATCAACTAGTATGAATGACCAACAACTATGAATAGTTATTCACTAAAATATTTTAGTTCACTTTAGTTCTGAAAAGAAAGCAGCTATCTTTGTTTTATTCTCTGCTATAAGAGAAATGTTCTTCTTCCGATTTATTCTCCAAAATTGAATTGACTTTTACTAGGAGTAACATCAAGAAACTTTGTACTAGGATAGTCTGATCAAGTTTAGTTCTGATAATCACGAATGAGACAATATAAACCATTAAATTTAGTCATAAACATCATGCTTGTTGTTGGTTATCGTGATATTTAAAACGATTGGCTCTTATTTTAAGTATCATTTTGAACAGTGAAATTAAAATTTAGATGCATACTGATGACAAGTTCCGAATATAAATAAATTCATCCTTCGGTTTTCACATTCAATTATAATCTAAAATGTCATCTTTACATATTAATAATAGTGACAGGACATATTTTGTAATCTGAATTTATTTATATTAAGAACCCTGTACTGTGTAAGCAACAAGGTATATACTATACAAAATTACTTAATAATGTCATACTAGCTAAAATGATAAGAAAACTTTCATTGTTTTTTTTGTCCGCTTATTGTATTTGTGGAAATCGAACACTGGGTGAAGAACGACCATCTCTGCTTTAGTTCAGAAGTTACATTTAGTTCTCACTCGAGACAGTCATTTCTAGTTCCATATTATAAAATGTATTTCCATGTTATTTATTTATCATGTTCCTGGTTAGGAAGAAACACAGGAGTGGGGTTTTATTTAGAATGCCACGTTGTACGCAATAAAATATGTATAGTCGCCCTTCCGATGAAGGGAATAAGAAGCATTCACGGAAGAAGATAACGTGGACGAAGATTTTGATATATTCAGTTGTAAATATCCAAAGCGAAAACTTCAAGGAATTCAAACGAAAATAACTACATCTTCTATTAAACTCAGAATACTGAGAAAAATATTATGAATTATTTTTAAGGCTAATAATAACAGAACTGACAAAAATTGCTAAATCAGTGTAGGTCGTTAGACATGAATAGTAACTGGAGAGGTAATGGTTGCTTCACACTGACTAGTTAGTCAGCCTCTTCCCGTTACATTGTGGATCAGTGACTCGGTGGTAACTCGTTTACAAACCACAGTGAGTGACATGCTCTCAAGTCTATCAGTGAAAACAAGATTTGCTGACAAATACATATGGTTAGTTAAACAGTTAAGCACAAAAACAGTTACAAATAGGGTTGTTCACAATTCTTTTAAAAGTCTAAAAAACTGGAATGGTAAATATATCGATACATTTATATCTGGGTTAAACCGATTTCTATGGTCGATTTATTCAAACCATTTCTATGTGTTAAGAGTTTTAGAGCTAAAAGAATGAGTAGCTTACACTGAGTCACGAAACATCAGTTTATATCCTGCACACTGATCGCAAATGTAAAGTCCGGAAACTTTTTATAACTCGTTATTCTCTTGTTAATATTCCATTCGTATTGGTGATGAAAAAATTGGTTAAGAATGAGGATTTGTGCTATTTATTATTTTTCTTATACAGTTTCTTCTGATAACCAGAATTATTACATTCACACAACGCTATTATTATTATTACCTCGGTTAACGAGACGAAATTCCCCGATTATGCATTGTATCCACATAATTTTTCTATTTTGCTATATTATTATATTGATTATGACTTGACACGTTACTCCAAATAATTCTGACCTTTATTAGATGACCTTTCTAATTTTCAAATAACACAAATTTGAAGTATATATATACTGTAACAGATGCAAACGTTCACCATTTTTAACACTTAACATTTTCGAATTCAGAACAACGTATATAAGCGAACAATATTGTTTTCGATTTAATCCTCATCAGGCTTTACTCTAATATACAGTAATATTTATAAGCATATACGAAATTATTAAACTAATCTATGAATTCAGCTGCTCCTATGGAGAAAGCTATATTGGGCGCACTACCAGACAACTGAACCAAAGAGTTAGTGAACACCTCCCTTCGTGGTTAGGAAAAGGTATTGTCAAGTCAACATGGAGCTCGGTTCTATCACACTTGATCGGTAGCGGTCATATAGTTGACAGAAATCAGTCATTTAAGGTTATTTATCTTATTCCTACTAGTTTTCCTTCAATATCGTCTCTTACATACAGCAGAAGCTATGGGAATTCAATCCAACAATCCAAGCCTTTGTGTTCATAAGAAATTTGTAACACCCTTATCTCTCCTTTGACCTTAATAAATTTTATTTTCCATACTCTTTCTTCGTTTATTTTTCTTCATCCCCCCTACCAATTATTTATTTTTTCGAATATACGTTTCACGGTTCAATTATCTGAAAACTTCTTATTACGTAATCTTATAATTTTTATGAATATTATTTCAGTGTCTATATTATTCTAATCATTGACCTATTTTCCCATTATGTAACATTGATTCAAGCCTTTTATTATTCTTTTCACAACTAGTACACCTGTATGGTAAACAGAGATGGATAGTGGCTAGCAATGGAATCCAGTACACCTGTCATTACTTATTATTATTTTTAGTTATGTAATCTATTCCACTGTTATCATTGACTCATAAACTGCCTTGATTGGTTTAATAATTTCGTATACGCTTATATTACTGTCCAATAATTATAATACTCTTGGTTCGGGTTCAGTTTTTTATTCTAGCACTCCATTTCGCATCACACTCTACTAAACTTATCGAAATAGGTAATTAAGTATACACATTTTTTGGAGTTTACCTTACAGCTTCTCTTGTTCCCTTAGGTTCTCTAGTGAGTCATTTATTTAATCACGAATGCCCAAAAACTTTTTTCCTTGATTTTTAAAATGCTCAGACTTAGGAAAGTAGTTTTTCGTACTATACACATATCTATATGTTGTAAGTTATGTACTGATATACTGATTGACAATTGGAAGGGGAGATCAGATGAACTTACATTGAGCTATGGTAAGATTTCCAAGATTGAGGTCTAACAATTAGGCCTTGATTAATTAGAGAGTGACTTACAAACTGATTTCCTTCAATAACCCATGGCAGTTTTCGGCAGTGCGATTGGTCGTTATTTGCCCGATAGTAGAGATGATGTTGAGTTTTCAAAATTCTTCGAGATAACAAACAAGGCATTTTGACCTTATTGGAATTTCCCAAATCTGTTGCAATAAAAAGTTTAAACCACGTTTATGAATCCAACAAGATACAGTTATCAATCTTGTTTTCCTTGATGGCCTTGTTTTCTTGAGACTGTTACGCAATACTTTTTCCATGATCTTAATTGTAACTTATGGTTTTTCGATTTTGTTTTTGAGGTATGCTTAGCTAGTTTATGTTTTTTTTTATAAGTATTTCATGATCGGCAACATAAGTCCTCAATTTCTAGAAGAAAATTCTGTCCACATCCCTTTCTCAGTTTTCTCTTCTAGAATATTACATATTTAAGCGTATATAAGCAAAGGTTTAGACAATTTGTTAATCCTTCCGTTATTATTGTCTCTCATTACTCTATATCTACATATCCAACTCATAAAGTATCCATACCTCTTCCGTTTCTAATGATTAATACTACTGTTCATAAGTTGTAAGCAGCTGAAGAGTACTGGTGAAATAAATTGACTCATATTATTCTGCTACAGTGGTTTTTCTTTCTTGATTCAAAGATAAGAAACATTCATCACTTATGAGCTTTACCATTCAGTATTTTTTTTATCTAGATTGACTAGAATTCTTTCAGTCCCAATAAAGACTCCTAATAGATGAATATTTCAATTTAAATATCATTATCATTAAAAATCACTGGCGCTCTAGTTATGTTTCAAACTTCTCCTTTAATAAAAAATAACTTGTACTTCTTTTTATAATGAACAAAATACATAGCTTTCTATTTATTCATTATAACTTTGCTCAGTAATTTATACTAATTTATTTACAGTTGGATGTATTTCAAGTCCCAGCTGATGTGGCCGAAGCTGAATTAGCCAGTCGCAAAGTTTCAACAGTTTTTCAAAATTTTATATATGACTTACCAATACCATTCTCATTATTACTACTTCTATGCGGATTTGGTTATTTGTTAATTATCGGTATAATTTATGCAATTGTAAAATCCATATTGGCGAAGCGTACGCCAAGTGTTAAACCATCTGCCAATCAGCTTCAACCTTTCGCTTGCTGTCCATGTTGTTTATCAGTTGCTGATTTATGCAACTGTTGCAGAGTAACTTCCATTGATGCCTGCCTTAATGGTATTTGCCCCCAACGTAAGGTAAGATCACACAATAAACATAAATAATGATTTTATGTGTCTCATTCCTTAAATGTATTGGAATCGTTAGTTTCACCATATTCTTTCTGAACAATTGTTGACCAGCTTACACTGCCGATTGTTTAATTCGCTCAAAGCCTTTAAACATTACTGTGTAAGAAGATTGGAATTTGATTAAAATCCTTTAATAAACCAAGTCTAATTGTTTAAATCATTTTAGGTTAATTTGCTCTTTTTAATTTAATGATAATATGGGACAACAGAACTATTTGATCTTAATCCTACAATTTAATAAATTTCCTAAGAATATTATCAAAAAACAATAAAATAAAAATATTCGTTAAACAATTCTAATGAACTATCTTGGATCGCTACTATGGTTTTCCCTTAACACCAAGGTATGACAGAGGAATTACAACGGATCTTGAAAACTTACAAAGTTAAAGCTTTCTACATGACAACTAACGCTCTAAGAAACGCCATACTTAAAATAAAAGATAAGATCCCGTTTACTTCTAGACAAAATTATGTCTACAGATTACGTTGTGTCGATTGTGATGTGTTCTATACTAGATTGTCTTCTAGTGAGATCTCGACTCGTACCCAGGAACACGTAAGTTACACAAAATTACCTCCTCATAATCCTGTAGAATTGGAAAATCTACGATTTGAATCAGCAATAGCATTACATGCTATTTTCAATAATCACCAGATTGATATTAGAAATATCAAAATAATTCAAAAAGATTTTTCCATCTATAAAGAGAAGCGAATAGCGGAAGCGTTTCACATAATGCTAAATCCCTCTTCTCTCAGTAGGGGAAACAGGTCTGACTATTCATCTAACATGGACTGTTTGTCCAAATGACTACATTTGACCATATATACTTTCCCCACAATCTGCACACACACACACACACACACTCAATTACAGCTCCACTTCTTCACATTACAAGTGTATACATTTTCCACACCCACTTTCTTGCGCACAAATTGATACAGTGATATGTCATACAGAATCACCACGATCAAAATAACTTGGCATTAACATTTACAAGCTTATTATGAATTTGATCGTACTCAAAATATTTAGCATTGTTTCCTTGATACTTGCATTAATCTTATTTCGGTAAGTTATTTACTGACAAGAAGTAGTATTTTGATATTATTTACAATTCACACCATTACCGTACAAATTAAAGTCTATCCTTTGCCATTATAAAGGTCACACATTTTTTCATCATTAACAGTGCACACATACACACTCACAAATTTACATACATGTCGCTTATGAATTATCTTGACGGAAATGACATGACATTGATTTATTCAGAATTGTTTTTTGATTGATCGCACCTAATATTCGTGTTGTTCCGTTGTACTATTTACACTTGGAATAATCCTAATTTGGTTATTTATTCTCTGATGAAGTGGCTTACACTGAGTCACGAAACGTCGGAAAATCTAATTTTCTACTCATTGGGATATTACAAATTATTTATTTATAAATTTGTCTATGTATCTGTGTGAATATGGTTAAAATAACTTTATTATGATTATGCTCTACTACATATGGAGTTGTATGTGCATCCTCTGTGTTAATCTATGATGATAGTTGAACTTGTTAAGCTTAAACAATGAAGGACAAGAGTATTTTTAGATTCGATTTTGTGGTGACTGACAACATAACTCTTCTGAACTTCGCCATCTTTATAAACCTGGAACTTTATTGAGACGGTATATGACTTTTTAACCAATGAGAATATAAAAATATCGATGTAACACCACAGCTTATTGGATTAAAACTTGGAAATCGACAGAAGGATATCCAAATTTCCTAACATAGGATATTCTGAATACGTTTCGTTGTTAGTAAACAGTTACACAACATAAATGACCTAGATTATTTCAATCACACAATTATAGTTGATCAGTCCATTCAAAAGTTCCTTCTTCGTGCCCTCACTTGACTCCAGTTAGATAAAAATCTCCATTCAATTCCGTATATAATAACTCGGGTAACTATTATGCAACTGTGGTATTAAAGATTAAATATGGAACATACTGGAAGAATGAGTTTCAAGTATTCAAAGATGGGCAGGCAACCATTCAAGCTAATGAAAATGGCCAGATTGTCTATTTTTTTATTTGGTTCGGTTATATATATGAAAAGCAAACAAATAAAAGGACACACGGAAAGGAAAGTATAGATAGAGGGAAAATCTTAATAAGATGATCCTTGGGTAAGTGCTATTAATTGACTGTACGAGAATCTGTACGATGCTGTTAAAGGAGTCAACAATGTCAAATATGTGAATGTGAGCAAAATACTAAATAAGATTAGAACGACTCGTCTGTAACATGATTTATCTGGTTTTATACTTCTTAAGTAGGTAGATAAATGTTCTGAATTACTACACTTTTGTATAAATTTATCAGCCTAGCTTCAATAATTTTCTAATATACAAGGCAAAAATTGTTTTTCTGAAAACATAGATCAAGTATTATATGCTACGATGACTGTCATTTTTCACTGTTTAATATGCGACATCTAACATTTCCGAGCACTTTTCCGTTGATTTGTTGTTTCAGTGCTACACATAAGTGTTAATTTTACTGAGAACTTCTTTTTTGTCATCCAAAGCTATCTACATATCACTGTAAGATAGTATAGATTGTTGAGTTTTAGTTGAGATCATAAACCGATCAATGTTAGACCACCATTGAGAACCTGGAAGCACTGGACTCTCGTTTCGTCCCAGTATGGAACTCCTCAGCAGTGTGAATCCACGATAACGTACTCAAGAATCGAGCGCAGGATCTTCGGTCTCGTGCTCGCTAGTGACTAGCTTCAAGAGATATTTCTCAGAGTTCTGGTGAGAAGCCATGGCCAGTGAAGTTTGATCGTGTTGGGTTTGGGGCAGTTACATACTGAAGACAATGGGAGATGGTCGCACAGTATTGTGGATTGGTTAACGTTAGACACTAACACCGTTACATTCCGGCTCAATGGTGTAGAGGCTAAGCTTTCGGGTGCATGACCGAAGGGCCGATCCCTTTAGTGCGGGATCGTGGATCCACACTTCTGAAAAGTCCCATATTAGGACGAAATCACTCTTCAGTTACTCCAGGAGTTCAGTGGTGGTCCAACATTGATCGGTGCATGATCTCAACTATCCATATGTCTTATATGAACACGCTACAGAGTGAGCTATTCAATAAGTTGGGTAATCTAAATAATTGGAAATGATCTTATTAATTCAGTTTGCTTACTTTTTGATTTGCCATGTTATTTGACTGAGAGTACTATTAGTCACAACTAGGGTACATAATCACAACCTGTCTTAAAATTTAAACGTTTTTAAAAAATTTCGACTGCTATTTTGAATTTAAACTGGAGGTTTAGAGATTTTATATGATAAGACTGCGTCTATAATTTCCTACAAAATTCATTTTGTTATGGGTTTTATGAATCAAGGTAAGACTATAATTTATGGACGACCTTTGAGCGACGTCGAAGTGACCTTGAGGATATCCACCTGCTTACTTGGGCTAAATGAGGGTTATAAACCTGTGTGAATAATAAGGATTATGGTTTATAGTTGATGTTAGGAATTGAAATTGGGGTTTTCATCACGAACTGCCATCAACTAAAATACCAAAACGCTATTTAGTCAAATGGATGAATGAATTTCGCACCAAAACTGAAAGTCTGTTATTCTATATCTGATTGGTTCATCCATAAATTATAGTCTTGCCATGAATCATTTTATTATTTATTTGAACACATAACTATTGGTACAAAGGGGCACCGAATACATATGTGCCGCACAAATCTCATTTGATTTGTGTGAGGGCTGTGATACTGCCCGGGTGCCCAGACCGAAGCAGGCGGTTTTCTTAGTGCGCCACATCCGGAGCCTTTGACCTAAAGGTCTAACACACAAGGCAGTGGAGCATCGTGAGGAGATGCAGTCACATGGTAGCCGGTGACCAGCGATTGATTCATACGCCGTTTTTTCCTACAGGATACTGGAGCACCATTGGTTTGGAATCAGGGTTTTCTAACTACCCTAGGTGGAATTTCCGTGTGCACCAACCCGGTTAAAGCGCCGGACATTCGCTTTTCGTCCTCTCAATTTTGTAAACAACACCCCCGCCACGAGAAGGCAGTGAGTAGGACTTCCCTGACAGAGGCTATATACGCATGGCCATGTGAGAGCATTTGGAGAGGGAGAGTGGACTCTCTCCACTCTCGGACGTACCAGGGCATTTGGGGGCTGCCAAGAATCAACATCTAATTTTTAAAAAAAATTTAAGAAATATTATAGTGAAACTGTAATTTAGAGACAACTCCGCCTGTAGCTCTTCTAGAGTGACTGCCGGTTCCAAGCACGGGTAAAGGAGGAGGGTTGGGCATGGGGTTAACGACCCCATCCCGTAGAAAAACTAACTCGCTAAAAAAACGCTAACCAGAAAAAATAATTCAAACCATTTAAACTGGCAAAGCAAGGACCGTATTCTTACAATTGAAGAACATATGGAACTCAAAACAACTGTCAACTAACTTCAAAGTGAGAATCTTCAATGCGAACGTCAAAACAGTCCTACTGTACGGAGCTGAAACGTGAAGAACTGCTACATCAATCGTCAAGAAGGTACAAGTATTTATGAACAGTTGTTTGCCCAAAATACTCAACATTCACTGGCCGGATACCATCAGCAACAGCCTTATGTGGGAGAGGACGAACCAGCTTCCAGCTGAAGAGGAAATTAGGAAAAGACGTTTAAAGTGGATAGGACATACATTGAGGAAATCAACAAACTACATCACGAGTCAATCCCTAACTTGGAATCGTGGAGGGAAGCGGAAATTAGGAAGGCCAAATAACAAACTACGCCGGGAAATAGAAGCAGATATGAGTAGGATGAATGACAACTGGAAAGGATTGCCCAGGACAGGGTTGGATGAAGAATGCTGTTGTGCGGCCTATGCTCCTCCTAGAGGGGTAACATGCGTAAGTTAGTAAATAAGTATAATTTATAGACGGCTTTTGAGCAATGCTAAAATGACCTTGAGGATGCTCACTTACTAACTAGGACAAAATGAGAGTTATAAAGCAGTTTGAAGAATTGGAATTGAGATTTACAGTTGATGGTAGGGGCTAGCAATTAGATTTAGGATTTTCATCAAGAACTGGCAGCAGTCAAAATGCCAAAACGCTACTTAACCAAATGAGTGGACGAATTTCGTGCCAAAATCTAAGACCTGCCATCTTAAATCTGTTTGGTTCGTCCATAAACTATAGTCTCACCGCCATCATTTTTTAGAAGAATCAATTTTATACATTCTTATTTTATCATGGACAAAATAATAGATGAAAAATATGCATTTCCAGTTCATCTCATCAGTAACTTATGCATAAATTGTTTTTTTAGACTCATGACTTTACGGACTTAATACTATGTCAAATATGTCTTGGACGGCCTGGTCGAATGAAATCGGCTGTACCAGTAAGTATAGTGTTTCATACTTGGGTAAGACATTTGTAAACGTTTAGTAGTGTGATCTACTTTAGTGAATGTGGTTAACTTTTGCCAGTTCAACTAGTAATATTGTACTTCTAACATACATTTCTGTACTTTTATTGAGTGTAGAACAGTCAAAGCATGGGAGGAATGTAGAAAATATGTTAATAGATAGAAAAAGCTTCATACAACTAGATCCTTCGATAAATTTAAACGGAGCAAGAACAAAAAGATTTGGTGAATAAAATGGATGCAATCTATTTCATGGTTTCTCATCAGCTCCATACAAATTAAAATTACAATTATTAGTATAAATATAATAATTAACAAATGTTTAACATACTTTCATGTGAGGGTTTTTAGGAAACGTAAGGCGTTTAAAAGAGTAATTGTCAGATATCTTTTAAAACACGAAGTTCAGCGAAGGGATCCCTTTTCAACGAATTTATTATCAAGCTGTACAACCGTATATATATGAAAATGTTTTGTTAAAGTACTAATTCCATGAAGGAATGTGAACACAAGTAACCAAGATGACGTAATAGAAAGATTATAATACCAGATTACGTAATACGGGTAATCACAATAGATTTGATGAATATAATAAGATGATTAAAATGAATAAAATGTTTTGGTTACAATAATTAAAGGTCATAGAGGTGTACAAGTAAATAAGGTGATATGATGAGTATTCATGAATAAAATAATGAGAATATAAGATATAAGTAAAGGGGAAATGGAGTAATAATAGTAAAAGAATGATAATAATATTAAGGCCATGGTAACGATAATGATATGAAGTACTTCTTTTGTACGCATAGTTCTGGTTTGAGCTCATGATATCTTTTAAACAGTGGATATAAAGATGCAAATAATGTATTTGAAAATAATTAACTGATAAGAAATGTCAATATTTCTCCGTTTGGCAGAGGCAATCGTTATCGAATGTTTCCGAACCTGCCTATGTATGCAGAAGGAAAGTGTGGTTAGCCTTTTCCTGGCATGGTGATCGAGGGTTCACCTAACAATCCTTAATAATTGCAACTTTAAGTCCTTTTTTTAACCCTGTTCCTAATATTTTATCTTTGTTTTTATTTCGTCTTCTGATATTTATCTCTTATATATATAGGCGATCTCAAATGATATTTAAGCAATAATAATTTTATTAGCTAGTAAGAGTCAGAAATAAAAGATCACTTGACTGACTATTTTCCGGTAGTGTTAATTTCTTAAGTATAATAAAGTGACCATTAAATCATATTTTATTAATAGATGGGAAATATCCATTGTAATAAGCTTTATTCACTGGTGGAGGTAAGACGGTACTTGTTGTTTTAAAACATTCATATATAGCTTAAACTGTTGATATATGAATTAGATTAAGTGATTATTCATTTTCTTTTTATATTCAGCTTGTCAAATGTCCTGTATGTTGTCGATCAGCCTATTGTGAAGACACCGTTATATGTTGCTTCTTATGTAATTTTCGATCGAAAGCTTTACTTCAGGACGAATAGAATAAATACTTTGGTTCTTTATAGTAATATTATATACATACTTTTGCTTGGAAAAAAAATAAATTTTTATTTTTACTTTTCTTAAAAAGACTTCATAGAGGGAAATTTTTTGAAGAAGATCGTTTGCTTCAGTTGTACAGATGTTCTTATATTTGTTTAACATTTATAGTAGTGTTTTAGAACATAATATAGAATCGCTTTATTAGACTGTTTGAAAATATCGAATATCAGAAGAAGACTGTATTGCATTCCAAAGGTTAATCAAAAATGACAAGATGAAGATAGTTTACAAATGAAAGATAAGTATACAGTTGGTGAATATAAAAATGGCAAAGAAAATAAAAATAAAATGTATTAACAGGTAATCAGGCAAATAATAAGAGAAAAATAATAATTGATCATTAAATATGGAAGCAGAAAGGAGTCTAAGAACACAGTAAGAATGGAGATTAGCTATGTACTTATAAATACAGAGTTTGAACTTTAATAATCGATACATGCGTTCTTATTTTGTATCCCCATCAATCCATCTACTTGACCACGTGGATGACTTTGAAAGATGATCCTGGGAATGCTGTCCGGATTTTCAGTGTTCTAGAATTGAGGTTTTCATTGATAAAAGATGAGGCATCGTGAGATATCCATCAACCTCCCACCATAATTAATCAGTCATTTCATATATCCAGCCCTTTTGATGCTTTTGAACAATGCAAGCAGGACAAGATTTGCTGAATAAAACATACTCAATCGAAATGGAGTCCTCTGAACAGCTCTGAAAGAAGAAGAGGCGTTTCAACAAAGAAAATATTACTCTCGATGACTTCATTTACTTAAGTTGTACAGTCGTATTTATAGTTAATTCTATTCGCTAAAATAGTAGTCTATAGTAGGATATTATGGTGCTAAATGTTTAGAAAACTGGAAGGGGTGTCTTGTATTGAATTGAAAATCAGGCTTTGAAAGGAAGTTATGCAATAATCGTCTAGCGAAAAAGTGGAAAGATGAAGATAATTCTCAATTTGATAGCTGTTAAGAACAGAATAATTAAAAGTTGTAATAATTTCTAATTAATAGTTGGGAAGGTATAGAAATAACAAAACAAGATAAAGACGGTAGATTATAGAAGATAAAAAAGTAAGTTAAGACCATGGAGAAAGGAGGGACTGAACATACTTCGCACACCAAGATTAGGTCTGAACTGGTGGGTAGCAATGTCTTCTGTAGTACATGAGTCTTTCATTTTCGCTCCTATTGAGCCGACTCTCCCGACTATATGTATGATATCGAAAGAAACCTCTGGTGAAGTGGTTAACAGAAAAACTGACAGCATAGAGACGGGGTCACTACTCAACCAACTTCTAGATTACTATTTGATTGCTAATTTCGAAAACACCATACAAAGACCATCAATTGACAGCATCTATCAATATATGGGATATTTAGATGACACTTTCATTATTTGTGGCAAAAAGTCAGTCACAATGAGTGAAAAGGCATACAGGTGTGGTTAACACCGGATACGTGTTACCTGTTAATGTTATTTCAGCTGGCAATAAAAGTAAATAGCGTGGTGTTGCAAAAAGATATTTTATTGCAAAACATAACAAATGTATTGTTACTAGTGCTAGTCAACTCAGAAAATGTAGAATATCAAGACGTCTTGGTCCGTCACGTTTTCTGTGTTCCGCAGAATATGTAGTGACCTGCTTTTCCCGACGAGAACACGATTGGAATAATGGAAACAATTATTATTATAACCAATTGTACCAGCGATTGTTTTATCGTACTTGTTGTTGTTTAGCTGTATCAAAGTCACTTCTCGTCCGGCTATCCATCTTGTTGGTTTGAACTTTCTTACGCTTTGCTCCTATTGCCTGTACTAATTGGCACGTCTCAGTATTCTTTCGATACCACGTGATCGTCAATAAATATACTTGATCTGGATCAGTTACAGTCTTGTGGTTTGCGAGTTATCAAAGGGACCAAGTCGTTTTTGGGCGCATAATCTCATTGTAGTGGTGATCATAGTCAAATGCGACTCAACGTCATCTACAAGGTCATTAAAAGTTACATTTATAGATCGTCAATATGGGTGATCTATTTGCATAGCCTCTGTCTACTGAGTTTGAACAGGAATGGCTTGACTTCCTGCTATGTCAAACCTAGTGATTCATGCCTAACGTTGATCAGTCTTTTGTGATAGCCGGGAACTATGGATCTTTTTATAATTGCAACGAACAAACGTGATATAATTAAAAAAATATGTTAGTACAAAGTCGGACAACTGACACATGAGCCAGTTCACAGAGTACAACTGATTAATCCCCCTTTTTCATCTTCAAAGTTGAAAATATCCGGCAAACTGTTCATCGACCAGTAATATGTCATTTAACTTAGAAGTGATAGGGTCTGGTGTGTGATTTTTCTATAGCTGAGTTAAATTTTACTGACCGCACAGTACTTCCTTTAGATTCAACGGCCGTTCAACCCGGAATCGAATTTATTCGAATTTATCACATCCCCGAAGTCATCAGGAGCTCTGGAAGGTCTCTCTGGCCGTTGATAACCAGAAAGACCAACGGAAAGAGGGAAGCAGCAACTGGTTGGAAAATAACGAATAGTAATATATCCTTGAATTCCAGTTTTGTCGACATGCTTAAAGTGGTGTACAGGTTGTTCAAAAATAAAAGAATTTGTGATCGCAATAGCAAAGATTGACATTTCAAAAAATCTCAAGTAAGTCGAATAAGTCAAATAAGTCAAATAAGTCTCAGATAAGTCAATCGACAGGCGATTGATAGTTTCCTGAATAAATAGATAAAGGGTTGGTGAAAGCAATAATATTACTGTGTTGGCACGAATGGTGCATTCTTTGTCGATTTTGATTATCGTACTGTCACTGACTTAAAGCAAATCGATTAATTCTGCTAGGTTTTCCTGTCCACACGTATCTAGTTTCGATGATATCTTTATTTAGTAGGCTTACTGAAAGTACAGGAGTATGAAACTTCATAAAATCAATCGTCATTTCGTCGCACGGGTTTATTTACCACTCAGTATTCAGAGTTTAAAAAACCGACGGTTGTAAACTGCGGCAACCAATAAGGGTTGTAGACTACAAGTATATCTGAGGCAGCGAAGGTATTTTTATATGGTCGCAAACTGAGGGAGCTGCATATTAATTTAATTAATGGACCGAGATATAGCTAATCGAATTAAAGAAACCAAGGTTTATCACATCGAACTTATGTCAGTGATATTGGTGCGAAACGCCCCCATTGTTGGAGTAGATAATGTTGTCCTCAGTTTGTATGAGACTCAGCTGACTTAGTAAACTGATGGTCCGCGCGAGCGTTCGTTTCTCCAGACTGTAAGATCATCTTTGTTGGTGGTCTATGTCGAAATGATTGGGGGCCTACTATAGTTAGACGAGAATGGTGATGAACCAACTAACGCCGAAGTCACACCTCGCGATCAGCCCTTACGTGGATTGAACCACCGACGCATCAGAGGATCATGGACGCTATGGAGACTGTACAACACAAAAGACGTTATCACAAGAATATATTAGTTAAGGTACAACCACGAAATTACAGAAGTGAAAGAACAACCACCGCCGCGTAGGCCAGTCCATGGCATGTAGCACGTTGTATTTCAACGTTTACTTGGGAGCAGGAGCGAACTGAAACAGCAACACAACAGTCAGGACAGACAAGTGCTTCGGAAGTGAGAACACGGTGTGCTGGTGCAAGAGATATATTTGAAATTGAAAAACGCGGTTTTTATTAAAAAAGGGGAAAGTTATTACAAAATAGTTTTACTCGTTATTCTGCAGGTTCAGAACGCGTAGGGCTTATTCTTCTTCTTCCAGTGCATTCACTCTTTGTTGCTCTGCAATGAGAAATACAAACTCACATTATCAATGTTGCATGTAATGATTTTTATTACTGTTACAGCATATAATTTTTTTGATGCGCGTTGACTATCCTTGACTTTGACAGGGATCGATGATCTGTTCGATATTCAGTGACATTTCACCGACCCTACAAGACCATCAACTGGACTGTACAGTTTTTCTAATGCTGAGTACATTAGCAAACGTTGTATATACAGAAACCATATATTTTATAGTGAACACGTAAAAACAATACATCAGGTGGTGGACGATTATCTAAATCAGTTGATTGGTGGAGTTCGTTTTGATAATGGCGTTCAGTTTTTCCGATCAACAGGTCTCTGTATTGATATGTGATGGTGTTAAAAACTGTTATGAATTGACTTGTATGATGTTGATGAGTCGTTAGTGAGTCAAAAGCTGAAGATGCTGCTTCCAATGTTTCGAACCAGTTACGTCGCCAAGTTTTTCCACATAATTAGTATACTAACTAAAAGTTTTACGAGAAGTTACGTTGTTTGATCCAAAGTCATGAGACGAAAACGACTGTTCACTCATTATTATTAGTAGCTTATAAGCCTGGTCGATTTCAACACCTTTTAATCACTCACTTTCAAACAAATCGATCTTCACATTATCTTAAACCCTACACTTCCAACTGACTTGTAAACATCATCAATCAGTAGGTATGAATATGAATAGTCAGTTTACTGAACATCAAATCATTGAGTCTAGAGCATGTCTCTAATGTAAGCACACACGTTCAACAAACTATTACCAGCTATCCGTTGGAGATTCATATAATTATCACTATTTTCACGTATTAAATAGATTTTCGATAATAGTTCATATGCCTTAGTAGTATTACTAATGATTATCACGAGATCGAGGAAATCTTTCAGTAACTAGGTAAGTCGTATCAAACTTGGCAAACTAACTGGGATGCTAGTAGGAATTCTTCCTCTCTGAGATCAGACTTTTGTTCCTTCAGTTAGCCTACTAATGAAGATGCAAATGGAAATGAACTCACGCAGACACTATGCCAGCGTAAACGTCAACTGGCTTTCTAATTTAAACCAACGATAATACTTATATCAACAGTCCTACGATTGTGATTGCTTTCTAAGCACAAAATGCTTATACTGACCATAAGTCAAGTCAGTGACCGACGGTTATTACTATGCATCTTAATGTGATTCGTTAAAACGTCTCTATAATCGATCATTCTTCAATATGCCAATCCTACCTTGTTTATCTCCTGAAAAATCTTCACTTGGATTCTCGTTTTACGCATGTGAATAGTTGAAACAAACATTTTTTTAAATTACTAATTGTATATTACGGTCAGTTGCATCCTCCTTCTTTTTGATTTATCTTTCATCGTATTTCAATAGTGGGACAGAATAGTTGAACAGCGAGGTTGTCTTTTTCAAACACTCAGTTTTTCAGTATTCCAAGCGATATGGGTGTTTGAACACCTAAGAAATCAACCCCGGTGCGACTAAACAGAACCAGTGATGACAATGCTGGCATTATATTGTTTACTAAAAACCCCTCCGACTGGACAAGAAGGATAGTGATATTAGGCCTTAGGGAAGGAATGTCACCTTCCATTCACCCAAGAAGGGAGCTACCAGTTCAAAACATTCCATACAAGCAGAGGGTAACGTCTTCCAGAATCCTTATAAGTATGAACTGATGACCTAAAGGCATAATCAAATATGATAAAACATACTAGGACCCGCAATTCCTCTGGTCTGTTGTCAGGAGTAAAGTTATGTATAAGAGGTAAGGGCTACACGACCAAAATGTATTGAGTAGGCAGGTTACTTACACACTCATACCAGACTTATTCAAACAAAGTAGTCGAGAATGTACATGCGTTTTGAATTGGAAATTCTGACTACCTATGTGTGAACACAGTCATTCTACGTGACAGAATGGATAACTGTGTGAATTTCGTGATGGAGATATTGCTCATCATATGGACGTGACCGTAGCCGGTATCTTCTCAAACCACGGTCCAAGAGCTGGCAAAATCCAACTTATCTTTAGTTTGGAGATACAGGAAAGTCGGAACAGTAGGATAGTCTGCTATATACTAACTTTCCTGTATGGTACATCATTTAGTGTATATTCAAACATTTGCCAACCTAGATAAATGTGCTCGGCACTCAGTATGGCTACCCGATACTGCAAAATGTGCAGTTGAAACTATCTACAAATGATCCACAACTGAAAACTAGCAGGACAATCATATCATTGAAAGACAAAGTAATTCTCTCAAACTAGAACGCACATCCCAATATTTGGATAAGTCTTTCCTCGTAAAGTAGACTATATCAATGACACATGCGTTTGAAGTACTAACCAAAGCTCTTATTTTAAATTTCATTAAGGAGCCAGGCTTATTCAAAATGTGCAAATAAACGGCCAGTCGCACTCACCTACGGACTGCATCTTCGCTGACGAGGAGTTCTCAGGGAAATCGTCTATCTTCTGCATCTCTTAAGAAGAAGGATTCATTACGGCTGCAGTTTCATTCGTATAACAATACTAGAAGGTCATGAAGGTAACACGAGCCAAGATTTCATGCCCCTGAATGCTCCAGCTCTCCTTAAACTTGTTTTATGTACTTTTGGAATTCTTGCTAGACATGTCCCCAAAGTGGCCCCTAAAAGTTTTAAGTAAACTAAGGCCGTATGTAATCACTCCAATGATCAAAATGAAAAGATAATGTTGAACATAACACAGAAAAACCGGCGACGGTAACACTTGCAAATATTTCAGAGAGACTAGAAGCGATGAAGTAAAGACACTGACGGAAGACGTGTAACAGCAAGGAATAAGGCAGAAAATAATGTGGCCTCCTTTCAATATATGGTCAGCCAGAAATAACCGTGATGCTGTACGGCACCGGACAAAATGGCGTTTCTAAACATTTCAACCTCTGTCTATGGGCAACTTAAACGACAGTGTCTGTTACAGATCAACAGGAATTTCAAAGGTAAACCCGAGTACGAAGCTAGTGCACCACAGACAATATCGTCTGAACAAGGAAACATTTTCGAGTCTAAGCAATGTCCATTATAGCACACTAAGAAAAGCATTTACTTTGACAATACCCTTTTGCTTACTACCCCAACTTTCCTTCAACCAAGATGGGGTCCCGGAAGAGCAAACTCTGGGACATATCACTACGGTTTACAAAGCAGACTGAATCATCGATCTCCTAAATTACCAACTGGTAGGTCTGTTCTAAATGCTCTTAGAAGCTTCAGAATCTCTGGTTTACAATCGTCTGTTGTCTTTAAGTTTATTCTCAACCCAATGTCGTAGTTTTAGGACGCGTTATTCCTCCGTAAATATCACTGATACTCAGAGCTCGACAGTTTTCTTAACCGCAGTTTTTCTTACGTATTGTGTTAAAAACTGTTGAAAATTAAAATCAAGAATAATGGAATGAGACATATTTAAATAAAGACAGATGTACCGTATTGTATGGAACCTATGTTGATCAGTTGTTTATGAATATGAACTTCATGGGGTGTTCAGATATGATCTGGCGCTGACGCTGGACTCCGAGCCTTAAGCTAGGGACTTTTCCCATTAAAACTACTAAGGTCGGAATCAATGTCGAAGACCTGGAGATACATTTACTCCTACAACCTTGTCACGAATATGTTAGCTAAGATGAATAGGTGTCCCGCTATCATAGATCATAAGAGTAAGGCAAATGGAGTATATGGTATGTTTCAAAACGCTTTCCCAAGAGTCTTTCATGAAGAAACTTGACATCATATAGACTAAAAAGAACGTGTATTGCCAATTCATTATTAATTATCTTTTCAGACTTGCCTGGAATCATCTGTGATAAATTGCTTCTAGACGTGAATTTTAGTGAAGTAAAAGTTTTGTTCCATCCGCAACCATTTGACTATTTGAGCTGTGAATTGGACATTAAACTCGCGTGTACTCAAAAGTGTAGGCTTCTTATGAATTTCTAGTGTGTCCGAAACACTTGGGGAAACATCATTTTTGTTTGAAATGTCCACTGTGTATCAGAATCGCAGTTTACTTCTTGATGGAAGTAAAGTTTGTGAAGGACCATCACTTATTTCTTTTAGCCGAGTCAGTATTTTTTGGTTATGGAACGATTTATTCTAAAAAAAACAATGCAGTTATGGTTAGTAGACAGTTTTAACACGAAAATTAAGCTTCGTTCATGAATTATTTGGGTTATCGTCATGGATTTAGATAAGTTGTAGGGATTAAGTATTGCAGGGATTAGTTTCACACTGATATCTGATTTGTTCACTCATGTACTTTACGTGTGCCTACTTTTCCTATGTCGGAGCTAATTTACTATGAAGATCACCTGGAACGATTAAAATGTTGTCCTGACCAGACAAACATTCGACATTTCACGTATCTTGCCCATCGGGTTACAAACTTCTACCATACATCATATAGTATTTATTTCTAATCCTGTTCCTTGGTCTTAACAAACTACCAAAATGCCGTTTTATGGTATTTACTAGTGTTGGTTTTACATAAAATGCATTATATGGATTAATCTACTTTTTTCTTACACTACGTCTGGAAATAATCCTATGATGTCCTTGATGCACGTCCAACCTACACATTTCCCTTTCATAGGCCATGTTTCACAGTTATAGAATTATACAATGCAAACTGCTACGGAGTGTGCTTGACACATGTTTGGGGAATAGGTATGTCTACCACACTATAGGCGTCACAAGTTGGCGAAACCATTCTAGCTTTCTTAATCTTTCTTAATATTTCACCAGATGCCAATCCACCATGCTTGATGTGACTATCAATATAAGTGGGTTGGTTGGCCCTTTTGACCTCGTTTCTTGTGAGCTGTCTAGGCGCCGCTACAAACCCGTTTTAAAGCAGCTCTGTGTATTCAGAGTCCGTAAGACTTTATTTAATATTGTGTCATGTATTTATTCAAGATCGTTGACTTTGTTCCCTGGCATGGGATCAATCTGAAAAGTTCGACTTTAATTGTACTTTACAGAAGGTTACCTGTGATAAATTTAAACAAAAATGTAGATGGTATCTAACATTAACTAACTCATTGTCCATAAACAACCCTCGTAATGAAGCGAAATACCAAGCTCGAGTCCTTTGTTTGTCAAGCAATAAGCACCAATATAAAATTTACCCTGGTGTCTTATGGTTTGAATCATTTAGTTTTAAAACAAATACATGCCCGACAAACGTAGGAAATTTGCCTTAGTTTCCCAAACCATTTCTCATATCTTGTCAAGTGTCCAACTTTATATAAATTTTTATAAGAAGCCACTAAAGTGGCGCTTAAATATTGCTACAGATAATCAAGTTATATTTTTTATACCCCCAAAAAATTATTAGAAACTATCGAGTCCCTAGACGTATAATGCATGAAAGCTAAAGTAGTAAAACCAAGGTTTAGGTAAGGAGAAATTTCTCTCTAAGATTGCTAAATAAACTGTTGATTGTATGAGATTATAAAGCCTATAATTGTTGGAAATTTGAGATAGCTATTGACACTATGGACTATCATTCCAGAGAGTAGTTAAGTATATCAAATACTTTGTCTCTTCGTAAGCCATTTATATCTTCGATGTCAATAGTTTTTCCTTAAAATAACATCTGTAAAGTTAGGTATTAAAAGTTGTGTCTAGGTTACATAATAACTGTTTAGTCATGTCTTACAATGATGTTTGTCGTTTTAAAACGCATTGTTTATTGCTCCCATTAGGGTGTATAGTAATAGTTATAGATTTGGGTCTTGCTATCAAATAATTTACTTTTCCTTTCAGATAGCTTTATATAGTGCCCAATCATCAGTTCTTGGATAGCTTCTTAATTATCACTTCCTACTCTGCTTAGCTTACTTTGGTTGCAAACTTTTTCTTCGTGATGTTTGCACGGCTACGTAATTGTGAACGTGTAATATCTGATACGTACGTCATCAATCAAAAAATACACACAGGAAACACGATTTTCAAGAACACTCGTGCTGGGGTGGTTCGTCGAACTAGAGATCAGTCTCACCCCCTCACCTACGAGCAGGCAAAAAAGCCACATCAAATTGGTTTAATGAAATCCTGGAATTCTTGGAATACTTCAAATTTAGAAGGAGAGGACCGTTACACTTCAGAAGTTACCCTTCATGACCAGTTTATTCGAACATTTATCAATGGAACTTTTCCTTTGTTGGTCCAAAGTGAAGTATGTTTATTTAATTGTGCACAATTATACATTTTTTTACACTACACCATTATATTGATGCTAAATCTGGTCTTCGATGCATAACTACGTTGATTTAGTGTATGGAAATTCAGCTTTTGAAAGTTCTGTCCCTCTCATATTGAAATGTAAAAATTCAGTAAAAAAATCATCTAATAATTGTTTAAGCTCGTACTCTTGATTCTATACAAGATGTAACTCAGGACCATTGGTTCTTGTGGTAGTATATCAAGATTCGACCCCCATTTTCAATGTTATTTGGTTTATAATACATTGCTACCACCACTTGGTGCTATCAGGTGTGACCCATTTTCATTCCATAAATTACCAGCTACGCAGGTTACTTTTATGACTTTTAGCTCGGTTAAATATCACGTGATTTACCCATTAATCAGAATGCAACTTATGCAATCTTAGCAGTGTGCCAAACCAATGACGTCTTGACCGGTATAAACAGCCTAGCGTCCTTATTGGTCTTTTTTCCTGCCTAACCCTGGCTGTTGGGTCCAGAACACCAGTGTCAGCTTCCACTATACGAATAATCTATTTCAAACATATCTGGTTTATATACAAGCCAACCAGACCACATCGCCCCATAAAGTAAAAGCAACATTTGTACAAGGTTAAGTCAAAGAGTGGCTGTGATTGTGAGTGACTGTAATTAATAAACTTGGTATAACTGAAGGATATTAAATCGTATAATAAGAGGAATATAAATATACATAATTTAGTTACTCAATAGTTATACAATAAGAATATATGTAATATTAGTCCAGAAATAGTTCTCAGAGTTAACCTATAATTTAATCTTCACTAAGATATGTTACAACTCCTCATTAAGAGTCTGCGACATCAATTTCGTAGCGGGTCACTAATGTAAAATAACAAATGATTGTGACTCAGTGGGTTAATTCTATCTTCCTTGATAGCTACAGGTCCGACCCCGTATGTAGTCAAGGTTACGTATCATTTGAGTCTCGAACTAGTATGTAACAGCTGTTGATTGATTTCCAGTTTTTACAGATTTTCCGAATGATTTCAGTCTGTGGTAAAAGCTATCTTCGAATTAACTAAATCCTCACATACTATCTCAGTGAATATTTTCACTAAACTGTGTTCAGATAATTATCTCAGCTAAAATCAGAGTTCGTTTTTGCGACCAATCCTTGTGAGTATCGAAATAAGGAAGTATTGTTACCCAACGCTTTGAAATCCATATTTTATCTCTTAGGTGTGAACGACTTAAAATATAGGGGTAAGTGATAATAATTTGTTTGTGATGAGTCATTACGGAACTGCTTCTACAGTTTGGTGGTTTTTCGAGGGTAGGTAATTCAAGGACTAGGTAAAGCATTACATCGATCACTTATGTATCCTTTCTGGTAATTTATGTTGCAAATCTCTGCATCAGTCTATGTACCGCATAGTTAATAACTAAAAATCCTGGAAGCATTTATTTTCATAATAAGATGTTATCGCCAATAATCACATTCTTGTTATTACATTTCTGGATTAACTTCTCTCATTTTCCTGTTTATTGATCATGTTGATAAAATTCAAAGTCCTTTGAATACCTTGTGTGATTCAGGTTTAATTTGCACCATTGCCCTGCTTGATTCTATAAAAAGCAACAATTATCCTTACAATCCCATTATTTTTAAGGCTTCAGTTTAGGGTTGCAGCACTCATAAAAACTCCGTTCGATAATTATAAACTTGCGTAATATATGGAGAAAATAAAGTTAGTATGCCTATCAAAGGGCTCTTATCATGCATAACAGTCCATTGTGTGTTAACGACTATAAATTCTGGTCAATAGAACTAGCAGATTTGTTTTGTCTGCATGTGTTGTATCGTAAATCTCCTAACAACACTATTCATTTATATGTTTCTATGCTTGGTTGATGTTGATATCATTAGGTGAAATTGAAATATTGTGAATGTAGTAATTGTAGAACATTTAGAATTTTTAGTATATAATTTCTTCATTGATCCTATAAATAAATAATCAATCCATATTGTTACTTGGTAATGACTTTTCTATAGTTTTTATTGGATTCATCATACAAGTTAAGTGAATTTTATTAATTGAAAGAAATCCATTTAGGCTGTATTTCCAAATGTTATTATTATTTTATTTAAACACATAAATATTGGTCCAAGGAAGCACCAGATACATATGCGCCGCACAAATCTCATTTGATTTGTGTGAGGGCTGCGATACTGCCCAGGTGCCCAAACTGAAGCAGGTAATTTCCAAATGAATTTTATCTATTATTAAACATTATTCTTATTCATTTATTTATTGATGATATGACGTTTCTTTATTCTTCGATAATATTTTTATACTAATTCACGTTGTGTATTCTTGTATTCGATTGTTGTACTAGAATTTCTTGTGTGATCAACAAATAATAGAGTTTTGTATTTATTGTTTTTCGGTGTAAATCACATTCATTTTGAACTACTTTATTTTTTACACACCCAAAAGGTTATTATCAAACGACAGTGTAACGTAATACGCGTAGCTTTTCTATTATTAAAGCGAATATCTCCAGGAGAAGTCAGTTTCCTTATTGGTTATACAGAAGAAATGCTTTCTCTTATACTACGATGTGTTGTGAAATTAGAAGTACAAATGGTCATATCCAAAAATGATGTTATATTTCGATATGTTTAATCATTGGACTGAATTATTATTTATTATATTGCATCCACAAAAGTGATATGTTTTGTACAGTGTATCATTATTATAGCCTTTAATAAACTGCCTATTTAATTATAATCATTCTCATGAAATTTTGATCAATCCAATAGTTTTCTTATAGTTTTAAGGGTGATCCTCTTCCATAATTTCATATCAGTTTTTAAAACAAATTCATAAAATTAGTCAGAATGTTTGACGGGATTGTTTTATTCTGTCCTATTAATTTTCAGTCGTAGATATCTAAGAATACTAATGTTATGACTGGTATAACAATCGTTATTGTATATGAAACGTGCAATGATACAGAAAATACGTACGAGCAGTCTCGATTGCTATTCGGTCCTTCCTAACTGCCTAGCCCAGCCAGTTGAGTCCAGAACACAAATAACAGCCTCGGAAATATGAATCATTATTCACAAGCACACTGGGTTATATATACTAACCAAACAGACCCAATTATACCAAAAAATAGAAAAATAACATTTGTACAGTAATTGGCCAATGTGGCTGTAGCTAGGGGGAAAGTAATCAATAATAATAGTTCCAAGGTCAAAACAAAGGTTGTGATAAGAGGAACACGGAAACGATTAGGTCACTTATTTAACAACTATCCAATAGGGAATGGGCATATTGTATTTGTCCATAAATAGACATCAGATTTAGGTTACTCATTTAACAACTATCCAATAGGAATAGGCGTATTACATTTGTCCATAAATGGACATCAGATTTATGATTCATAATTCGCCAGGGGATACAACACCTCCCCTTTTTGAGAAATCCGGAATTTTAATTTCCTCGAATTCACCCTCCCCCACGAAAGACTGTTGGATCCTCATATAGCCAAGTTACTATTAATGCGATATGTTTGTCACCTTTAACAGGGAATGCATTAGAACTGAAGAGATCATGAGGATCGACGACATTTGATTCGAGGTCACCAACATTTGATTCTTCTGAAATAGTTTTCTTGAATTTCCTCGGAACCTCATTAGTAGATAATGAATCATTAGGATAATCAGTATCTATGAGAGTTGTATTGGATTCTTGATTATCATTAAATACATCTGACAATTTTCTCTCATTTTTATAAGAGAATTCAACAGAAACATATGAATCATCAAAATAATCTAAATCTGGTAGAACAATTACAGAATTTTGATCATTAGATTCATTAGAAACATTTTCCGTATCATGATTAATTTCATTTGGTGCCACTGTATTCCATATACTGCTCGATTTGTTTCCCGTTTCTTCGTGGGCGGGTACTGCAGCAATTTCATGAGCATTTTGCAAGACATTTACTTTCTGTGAATAGGATAATTCATTGTTTGCACGTCCGTTTTCGGGATTAATAAGACTTGGACCGTGTACAGGGCATGTCTCTGAAACAGGTAGTACTGGGTTACTGGGCTGATCATGTATAACTGCTGCGCTTAAATTATTGCTTTGTATGGATTCATTGAGGCTTTCGCCGGCATATTCATTAGTTCTGTAACTGTTTTCCAGCTCTGTACGCAATTTTGAAATTATTGCGTCAACTTCCGTTTCACTCCCAAAGCATGGGTGATTCAGCAGCTTCGCGTGTAATTTGTCAATGAAATCCAATTGACTCTTTCTGAAGCGCTGCTCTTGTCGCTGGATTAGCAACTGAAATTGGTCGGAAGTTAAGGCCATTTTTTTAAATGTAAATAATAATAATAAATCCAAAAAAAAACACCGGCAATTATTATGGATTATTTAATTCCGAAATGACGTCAGCGGCTGCTGTATTTTTTTCCAGAATCAACGTCGCCAATTGTTATGGTTCGTATAACAATTCGTTATTGTATATGAAACGTGCAATGATACAGAAAATACGTACGAGCAGTCTTGATTGCTATTCGGTCCTTCCTAACTGCCTAGCCCAGCCAGTTGAGTCCAGAACACAAATAACAGCCTCGGAAATATGAATCATTATTCACAAGCACACTGGGTTATATATACTAACCAAACAGACCCAATTATACCAAAAAATAGAAAAATAACATTTGTACAGTAATTGGCCAATGTGGCTGTAGCTAGGGGGAAAGTAATCAATAATAATAGTTCCAAGGTCAAAACAAAGGTTGTGATAAGAGGAACACGGAAACGATTAGGTCACTTATTTAACAACTATCCAATAGGGAATGGGCATATTGTATTTGTCCATAAATAGACATCAGATTTAGGTTACTCATTTAACAACTATCCAATAGGAATAGGCGTATTACATTTGTCCATAAATGGACATCAGATTTATGATTCATAATTCGCCAGGGGATACAACAACTAATGTTGTTACTCTTGAATTATAATATTCGACATGAATGTAAGCTAACTTTAAGCTAAACTGAGTTTGCAGTAGTCTTCATGTTTTTGCTTCTGAAAATACTGAGTTCAGAAAGGAAATTTTGTTTGATTTTCAAGAATGATTGATCAGCAAGTATAAAATCCTCTACTGTAGTGAACCTATGTAGATTACAACTTCTATGAACATTATAGGCAATCAAAGTAGGGAAACAAGTAAACTTGAGATAATTTAACTTATTAATAGTTTAGTAATTCATATCCGTTTTGTTCCCTAAGTTTTTAACATTTTTCATAAGCAAGTTTATTCTTGTACGTAAAGAATATTTCTCAGAGATACATTTCATTAAGTCAAGTCTGAGCATAGCCATAATGCGAAAGTTAGACTAATGACGTACTTATTTGTATGTTTTCAAGACCACGAAACAGCCTTTCAAAAGCTCTTAAAACTGATGCCTATGTCCACTGAACACTTTAACTGAAAATTCATTTTCCACTTACAAAATAATACAAATACACATTTAATCGGCTCGTAGCATTAGTAGTAAATTGTATTCCATCCCTCAATACTTTGTCGACCAAGTATTTCAGCCAATGTAAGGTTCATAAATAACTTGACATTGATAAAACAAGTAAAAATCCGGTAGTTTATGATATTTGCTTAGACTGAATACCCAACATCATTTAGTGTTATATTGCAGTGAAAGGCATTTATTGCTGAATTCATTTAGTGTATTATCCGTTTACAGTCCTACATTAGTTTTAAGTTATGAGTTTATTCTTAAACGCCAGTAAATATGTCACAAATACCACACGTGGAGGATTACATTTACATAAACACGATCCATCCAAACTTCCTGTATTAAATAAGTGATAGCAATAAACCCTTGACCTAACTTTTGCATCACCTCTACTCATTCACCCTTTTATGTGAAATATAAGCAGCAGATTTCAAACCGTCAACCCAACTGCCACTCTAACCACCAGACCAATTCATGAACGTCGTGTATTTTCTCCACCAGAAAACCATATACGTTATGTACGCTGTTGAATAATGCTACCTTGAGTATGAGAAGGACAGAGATCAATGTCTTTTCTTACCATTTTTAAATATGGTTCATTGGTGTATACATATTAGTGTCAATAAACATGTTTCTAAGGTCTACTTAAAAAGAATTCTGCAAATCGTGGTTGTATAACACTGACGACAACAATCGTGGATCCTCATTTAAATAACAATAATTATATGCAAAGATTTAACAATGTGATATATATATATATATATATATATATATATATATATATATATATCATTCTCTGATATCTAGCTCGTATTGTACAGAAAATTTCTCAATATCACTAAATATGAGTGGTTGCTTTTCATGTTTCAGATATTGTTAAATCCAATTGAGTAAGAATCAGTTGTTTGCCGTATTTGCCACAAGTCAACTAAGTGATGGGAAAGATGTCGAAGGTGGATTTATATTTGATATATTAGAATTTAATATGTCAGCTTGGGTCATTTTCAATTGCTCTGTACCTTTGGTAACCTGGTTATTTGAATTTTGTAATGTTAATGTTTGTTGCGAATTAGTAGAACTTCCAGTTGTTGACGAGGAAAGAATTGGGACGACAGACGTATCAGACTGCATTTGACCTGAGTAATTAGATGAAGTTGATGTAGAAACTGATACTGGAACTGATATAGTAACAGAAGCTGTAGTCTTATCATCTGCTAATTTATGACTTATTGAGGGTTGGAGTGATATGTAATGACCTTGAACATTAGAGTCCGGGGATAGATTCATGAGATTAGAGAAACTTGAATTAGTTGGTTGTAATATGTTATTTTGTCTCGCTACATTGATATTTTGAAGTTGAGCTAAGTGAGTTTGCAAACTTGTAGTGTCTATAACACTGCCATTTGGGCTATGACCCAATGATCCCACAATACTTGATGTCCCTCCAGCAACATCGTCGTATATGACATGCGGATGCTGCATTCGTATTAAATACTGTGGGAACGAGTGAATTTCACCTTGTCCAAAATGACGTACCGGAGTCTGTGGTGAGTATCCATAATTGTTCACCACATCACGATTAAGATTTGGTGAAGGAGTATTAAGTGATGGAGCTCGAAAGTATGTTGGTGTGAAGCTAACAAACTTATTTGTGTCATCAATCATAGGAAATGTTAGATTGGTATTTTCCATATCTAAAGTTGGAGGTTGCATTAATCCGCCAAATTGTTGTTGTGGTATGCTATTGTTTCTTAGGTTTTGCATTCCATTTTTTCTGAAAGTACCTGGTAATGAATTTGTCGGAATGTAGTTTGTAGGCGAATTCTCCTTATATGATGTACCATTGTAGAGTAGAGGGATTTTTTGTATAGCAGATAAGCTGTATGACGAATTAAGCACTCCATGATCTGAGCCATTTATTCTAACATGGTTCATATACGGAGTCATAGTTGCTCGAGGTAGAATTGGTGTCGTCATAATTAGTGAACCCTTCTTCATTTCATCAGGTAGACAAAGACAAGCAGCTAGGCAACTTGTCTTACTTGATCCTTCTTGTGATGCATCTAAAGTAAAGAAAAATAACGAAATGCATGGAAGAATATAGACTAAGGAAATCCACTTAGTAGTTAGAAAAGGATGAAAACTTAATTAATGGTTAGGTTCCGTGGCCCAATTAGTAAAGAATCGTGTCAGCAGTTTAATGCCTACTGGTTCGAATCAGAGTGTAAATGAGGTTTACTTTTGATTAAAGTTTTTATCTCTGTGTACACACATACAGATAATTAAATTAGCTTTAAATTTCCTGGTGTAAGTAAACGGCGATTTGGGTATTGCTATCTCATTTGCTCTATAGATTTTCTATTATAACCAGTATGTACAATGCATAAGTATGTTTCTTCAGTATAATTGCTGATTTTCTTGACTGATTTGGTTAGTTTACACAAATTATGTAGATTCACTGTTTTGGAACACAATGATTAATTATGCTCATAGGAAATAACTGATCATTATTTAAAGTAAGACTTCATGACTTTTTGGAAAAATGTCGACTTAGCCTAATTTGTGTCTTAATGATAATTCATAGACTATTTTTCGATTTGAGACTGTACGATAGTAATCATAAAGGTCTAAACGAATAATTAATCGAAGTTAATATCAAAATAGTTATGTTTTTGTTAAATGTATACAGGAAGATGTATTTAATTTAGGATTATAATTAAAATGTAAGTTCTAAAGAAAAGGTCCAGAAAATATAAATTATACACCAGAAAAGGGTTTTTGTGGATATTTCAGTATTTTCATAGTTGAAATCATGAGTCAATTGAAGCTAGGCCACCATGGAAAACCTGGAAGCACTTGATGGTTAAGTGCTCCGGCGCGAAGCTGGTAGGCCCTGGGTTCGAATCTCGCGGGTGCGGGATCGTGGACGCGCAGTGCTGAGGAGTCCTATAATAGGACGAAACGGCCGTCCAGTGCTTCCAGGTTTTCCATGGTGGTCTAGCTTCAATTGACTCATGATTTCAACTATGAAAGTATAAATTAACATAGTAAATATAAAAATCAACAATTCTATTTAATGGCTTACCGATATAAGAACGAAATAGTAAACATCGAATGCAGAATCCCAAATTGATGAGAATTGATAAAACCAAAATCGACAGTATAGTAAATAATACTTCCGGTTTTCTCATATAAGATGCTATCAATAAAAACAAAACAACACTGACTGTATTTTGATTAAATGAAACAGAATTAGTATGATATTCAGTGAAATTCATTCCATTTTTTAATCTTCCGTTAACAGACGATGTCATGAGCTACTTTCATGAACAATCCTTCCACTATCGAAATATAAACGAAGCGCTTATCAAATTAGACGCTTCACTAAAAAACTCTCCTAATGTTGGAATCCAAACATCCACAAATATCACTCTTAATAGATTCTCAGTCTCGATGTTCGAAATAGATAATATGCGACGATAATGATTAGCGTGGTGTAAACTGCAAATGGGTAATATAATCAAAAAATCTCTGTATTTATTGATCCGAATGTAGACTATGGATTAGGTATTTGAAACGACGCTTCGATTAGTCAAAGGGAATGAAACCGAAGTCAGGGAGATGGGTTAAATAAAAAAAAAGCTTCATCCTTAAAAATTTTATCTCCGTAAACTGGATATCATTCTTGTTTTCTCATTGATTTTAAATTAACTTTGTACAGTTTGTGTGATACTCAGTATAAACGAACTAGTGTTTAAGGCATCACAATGGATTGATATCAGGAATCACCTATAGTTTTATAATCAATCTTACATGGTATGCAAATTTGTATAGAACAACCAAATATAAATAACAGAAAGGATCTCTGAACTTCCTTTGCAAATTTTATAAATAACAAGAATTTAAAAATAGTAATTTTGAGTAATCTGTTGTAGACTGTTAAAAGACTCTAATCAACTCAACACAACATTGACAATTTTGAAAGAGTGAATTCAATGTAACAATATTTTTAGATGTAAAATTTGAAAAATGTTTTTTACTTTATTTAACTATATCAAAATCATTCCTGTCATTATATTGAACATTAAACGAAAATGTTACTAAGTTGATGTACATGTAAAAGTTGAAATATAATTTTCACCAAGAACTCAAATTAATATGAATCATCAATTGGAATCATGGAATAATAGAAATTTGTGATGTTCTTATTTTTCAGGGAGTAAAATCTTATGTACATACTAGTGTAGATATCTATTGTATTCTATTTGAATTATGCTGATAAACTATGTAAATTTTAAAGTCCTTTCCTTTCGTATGCTTTTAAACCACTTTTTTGTAAACCATTGACGCTGAGCATACTTTTATTGATTCTCTATTCTTGTCTACATAATATTCGCTTTCTATGCAATAATGTAGTTTTTGTCTTTCAGGGCCATTACTTGAGTACATATATGGCTGTTTTATAATCATATCTTCGTCATTCACAATACAGTTAAAATTATCATACAAATCATCATGGAGATTTTCAGTGTTGAAAAACTTCCATTCACTATATACTAGCAGATATACTAGAGTCTATCCAAGCCTTGTGTCACTGAGATGGAAATTAAGCAAATACACTTGATTACATTACAGAGTGACTTTAGTCAGACAGTCATTTGAAATTTGATTGTCTCGGATGATCGTAGATGGTCTTAGATGTTCCTTCCCATAGTGAAACTTCTCAGGAGCGTATATCTACGACGTCACTGAACTCAAACCCAAAGACCTTAGGTCTGGCATCGAGTGATCTAAATTTAGACTAAGGAGACAGTATTTAATTGTTGATATGTCTAACTTCAGTTAGCTAGCGGTATTGTACAACCATCTTTCAATGCTATCGATTGGTTAGTTGTTTAAATTTCCGGCAGCAAATTTTTGAATGACAGGCGCTCTATCTTTCTAGTAACTCTTTTGTTAAATATATTTGTGCTACTCAATAAGAACTATTATCGTAGTAAGACAGAACCAATGTTAATCGTATTGTATTGGATAATGATAGCTTTTTTCATGTTAATAGATCCAGACAACCATATTTGGTAGGCAGATGTTTTTTTAATGAAAACTACATTTGCATGGTAAAGATGAATTAGTGGCCTATAGGTGCTGGATGACGCGAATTGTTTGATAAATACTAAACTTTAAATAGTCAGGTTAGTTCCTCAATACAGAATACACAGAAAACTCTGGCGAAGGTCATCCTTTTCACGATTATTAAGGATTATTTTTTTTATCACTTACTTATTTACATACGCCTGTCACCCCTCATGGAAGATCATAGGCCGCCCACCAGCATTCTCCATCCAATACTGTACTGGGCGATCCCTTCCAGTTCTTTCAAGTTGCTATTCATCCTTTTATTGTCTGCCTTCAATTCCCAACACTGTGTTCTTTGGTCCGCCTCTTTTCCGTTTCCTTTCAGGATTCCGAGTTATGGCTTACGTCGTGATGCAGTTTGTTGACTTCTGTAATGTGTCTTATCCACCTTCAATGTTTTTCCCTAATTTCCTCTTCACCTGGAAGCTAGTTATTTCTCTCCCACAGCAGACTCTTGCTGATAGTATCCAGTCAACGGACATTGAGTATCCTGACTAGACAATTGTTTGTAAATGATTTTACCTTTTTGATGATGGTTGTCGTAGCTTTTCAAGTCTCAGCTCCGTATGGTAGGACTGTCTTGATGTTGGCTTGCAGATAGTTGTTTTGAATTCCATATGTTCTTCAATTGTAGGAATGCTGCTCCTGCTTTATCAATCCTTGCCTTTACATCTGTATCAGATCCTCCACGTTCATCGGTGATGCTGTCCAGGTACGTGAAAGTTTCCATTTCTTCCAGGGCTCCTCTACCAAGTGTGACTGGGTTAGTGTTGTATTTGAGGATCTTGCTGTTTCCTTTGTGTATGTTGGCGCCTACTGCTGTAGAGGTTGCTGCTACACTGACCTGCATTTGTTGAAGTGTGTGGGATAAAAAAGCAAGGTGATTTGAGAAGTCCAAATCGTCTAGTTGATTTCGAGCTATCTATTGTATTCCATGCTTCCCCTCAGATGTGAAGATCTTTATAATCCAGTCTACCACTAGAAATAAAAGGAAGGGAGAGCCTAAGCAGCCTCGTCTTATACTGGTCCTCACTTGAAAAGCGTCTGTCAGCTGCCCTCCATGCACAACTTCGCAGTGTAGTCCGTCGTATGAATTCTAGATGATTTTGACGGTTTTCTCAGGTACACGATAGTATCAAAGAAGTTTCCAAGAGGTCCTCCTATCTACACTGTCAAATGCCTTCTTATATTCACGGAAGTCAATGTTTAGTGACGAGTTCCGTCCAAATGGTTGCTCGATGATGATCCGTAGTGTTGCTATTTGGTCATTGAACGACAGTTCATTACGGAATTCAGTCTGTTGATCTCGAAGTTGGGCGTCTACCGCGTCTTTCATCCGGTTCACTAACACTCTGTTGAAAACCCTTCCTGGTACTGACGATAGTGTGATGCCTCTGTAATTCTCACGTTTGCTCAGATCTCCTTTCTTTGGTATCTTGATGAGGTGTCCTTATTTCCAGTCTGCCTGTGGCACTTATTCTTCCTCCCGAATCTTCCTCAATAGAAGGTGGAGCACAATAGCAGTTACTTCTGTGTCGGACTTCAGTACTTCAACTTCTATGTTGTCAGTTCCTACTGCTTTCCTACCTTTGTAATGCTGTCCCCCCAGTTGTCCAGTGTTTCTTTAGCTTCGGTTTAATCTTGGCCACAACCAGGTGATGACCTGAATCTATGTCAGCTCCTTTTCTGGTTCTTACATCTTCCATTGCCTTTCTGAATTTTTATTTATGTAAGTATGATCGATACGTTTCTGCGTAGTGTGATCCACTGATACCCATGTACCTTTGTATATGCGTTTGTGAGGGAATATTGTGCCACCTATAACCATTTTGTTGAATGAACATAAATTTGCAGGTCTCTCATTATTATCATTCCTTTCTCTTAGTCCATGTCGCTTTATGATATCTTCATACCCGACGTTGTCCATCCAGACTTTGGCGTTTAGATCTCCCATCATGATTACCGTGTTCTTTCCTGGGCACTTCGCTATGATTGGTCGCGCTCTCTCATAAAACTGGTCTTTATCATCTTCATTACTATCATTGGTAGGTGCATAACATTGGATAACATTCATTGTGATTCCCTATTTCTTCGTTTTGAAGGGTGCTTTGACGATTCTGGATCCATGAGATTCTCATCCTGTAAGCGTTTTCCGTGCTTCATTGGACAACATCAGAGCGACTCTCTAAGTGTGTTGAGCGTTTTCTTACTCGTGACCAAAGTACAACAGCATTTCTCGAATCTATCCTTTACTATCCATCTTGGGTCCAATTTGTTTCACTGATTCCAAGCACTGCCAATTTGTATATCCTCATTTCCGTAGCTATTTGACTAGTCTTCCCAGTCTCCTACATTGTCTGTACGTTTCATGTACCTATAAAATTGTTGCTCTGGTTGTTAGAAGGGGCATTGGCCACTTGACATCCGGAGAAACTCGCGGCTTTCACCATGAGGCGTGATAATTCATCTAAATGAAGATCCTTCGACTCGGAGGGAAGAGTTTAAATGGTTTAGCTTGTTTATTCTGATTAGCGCGTTTTTGGCAAGTTTGTTTTGTATGGGATAGGGTTGCTGATTCCATGCACAACACTTCTCCTGAACTCAGGCTTTAGACCGGTAGTAGCCCTAAAGAGCTACAGGAGGAATTGTTTTTGTATCACAATCAAATAAAGTTTTACTTACGTGGTTGATTGTTGACCAAATTATTTTGATTAGAGTGTGTGTTTCGTAAAATCTCTGTAGGTAAATTAAGAAAAAAATATATACATATTTATTAAAAGCATACATCGTGTTCATTAATTGTAATTAATTAACAGCTTGTAATTAATTGTGAACTTCAGTCAATACATCACATTTCAATATCGTTCCGATGTGTTACCGACTCTATTCGAATATTCGTGTTGTTCCGCTGTACTATTTAAACTTGGATTAATGTAAATTTGGTTACTTATCTTCCGAAGAAGTGGCTTACACTGAGTCACGAAACGTTAGAAAATCTAATTTTTATACTCACTGAGATATTACAAGTATATTTATTTATTTATAACAATCTATCCAATGCTCAATTTATTCAAAATTATCAAATCAAAACTTGATAATGATGCCTATTTCAACAATCTGTCTGGCGTAAAAGAACAATTCCACTCAGTTCTTGATTTACCTCGTTAACGTCCTTTATGTAAATCAATTTACTATACATAATTATATTAATGACAGTTATCGCTTAAAAGTAGAGCTTTGTGAAGGTAAATATCTATTCCGAAATCCTGACGGAGTACTGTGGTTTAAATATTCAGAGAAAAATAATTCAGCAGTACAAATATTTATACTTGTGAAACACTTAATTCCCAATGAATTGTCATTAAAAACCAGTAATTTAACCAATGACTGCAAATTTTAGTCGCTAACATGTTTATTTTTCTGTATTTATCATTTCGATTTAGGATTATAGGATAGTAGTAACTATGTATGTGAATTACTTTCGCAAGCTTAGAATTGTAGCTTATAGAATTGGAATAGAAAGACCTTGTGTTGAGCTGCCTCAAGACCTAAAAAGACAACAGCACACAGAACAAATGTACAGATTACCAAAGTCATTATGATACCACCTACTATATCACCTACGAACAATCTCGTAACTGTTAGTCGGGAACTACTGAATTGCAATTTCAGTAGTTTTAAAACGTTAAAAAAGTAAATTATAGTTCAAATTGAAAGTAGTTACATTTAGAACAGAGATACCAAGGTTTCCTGTATGGTAACATACTTACTGAGCTAATTAATATACCAACTAAGTCTGTCTTAACGATTTTAGTGATAAATTCTTATCATTTGAGAAACAATGTTAGGATGAAGCATTACTTTTGATCTATCAACACCATTTCGTAAAGTATAAAATTTGGTTGAAAATCAAACATGAAAGTTCCAAGCACTTTGTTTGTTGTCTGATACCCTAACCCTAGTTCATATAACTTCATAATTCCCATATATATATCAATTCGGGCTACTTCATTATAAATACTAATAACTTATGGATGAACACAATAACTTTAGACCACTAAGTAGATAGTCAATAGTGCATATTTTTAAATCAATCTACAATATAGTGTGATAATCGTCCATTTCCACTTCTAGGGTATAATATGAACAGAAAACAACCTATTGTATTTACTTTGAAGTTCAAAGGAAGAATAAGTGTTGAAAAATTGAAAGAATACTTCATTGGAACGAACTATATAATGGTATAGTGATCTGTTAAACTTAGGGTGTTTCAGTTAATGGGTAATTAAAGTGCGATTCCTGTAATTTGACATCAGAGAGTGCTAAGAGTATTGCTAATAACTATTTTAACTATTAAGTGTGTTACAACATTAGGGATTGTGTTTTGTCGCGTTTGGCTAATTGTATTTATGAATACTACTATTTGATCATTGAAGTTACAATATACAATACATTACATCAAACCAAATTTCCAAAATATTATCATACACTTTTCACTAGATAGTTCCAAGATGATCCTCTCAAAGTTTTAGTGAGATGCTGTGACCTGTATAGTTAGCTACTTCAGCAGAGTAGAAGCAAATTATCAGTGCACAAATAAGAAATCACACTAATTCACACATTAATTCAAAATGAAGATGTAAAATACTGAATTATAAGTCAGGAATCATAAATTTTCTTGCCTACTGTGTGACATACATGTCATGAGTTTTATAACATCGTTAGTAGACAATGCCAATACGTTTTGAACCAAGAAAGGACAACTGTTCCTTGTTTCCTGAGTTGTAGTGGTTTGTGATAAAATATACTCAAGTCTCCAAGAAACCATTTATCTGTAGTTCGGTAGACGAACTTATAAAAATAGTTCAGAAATTGTAGAAATATTACATCAATCTAGGTGATTCCATTGTGGAATAAGAGAGGAAAAGATAACGAAGAAATTTAATGAAGAACAGTAACAATACCAATGATGACTAAAAGATAAAAAAAGAATGAGAGAAACGAGTAAAGTGAGAGAATGAAAACGTTTTGAATAACAAGTTATCCATGGTGAAACATTTGCAAATATATTACCCATAATCCTCAATAACCTTGAAAATAAAATAATTAGGTATCAGAGCTATCATTCAACAACAAATAATCAATTTCCTGATAGATTCGACTTGAGTCAAAAATTTTCCATACTTGTATCTGTTTACGAAAATGACTTCTGTGCTATTATAGCATCAGATATCATCAAGCTTATCTCAATGTATACTTCTATCTGAATATACTAAAAAACTTTTAACAGAAAAATCAAATTTGCACAACTCCATTTGCCAAGCGATAATGAATATAAGACCACAATGAAAAAATTGAGCGAAATACATATACTTGATTATTAGTAGGCTATAATTAGTCTATTTAATTATCATCGTCTAGTAAAACACGTAGCTACTGGGTTACATTTAGTAAATGTATTCAATTAAACCACATATCTTTAAGTAATTTAACTGTTTTAATATGAGTGAGTTTGGATTTCAATTCAAGGGAATTCTAAGTGTATTTCAGTAAATTATTCAAATATTAAACATCCATCTCCAACTCAAGCTTAGGAACAGGACAGGCATTATACTCACTTATTTTAAAGTAATTAAATTATTTAATATATGTTGTTTAATTGGATACATTTATGATAAGTAACACAGCGGTTGCGTGTTTTACTAGACATATATTTGCTTTGAAATTTAAGAGGTTCTATTTTTTGTCTTCTATTAATAGGTAATCAATTAATTCTAAAATATTGAAGATCCTTTCTGTGAAAATTTAACAAATAAAAGAGAACAATACTGTCTTCAAGTGGATCATCATCAAGATTTACACCAATATACATGAATGTTTATATGAATATATGAAAATATTGGATCGATCAAGGTAATTTATGAAATGTTAATCAAAATGAACAAGATTGCATAACTACACATGATAAGTAAAAAGTACAAATTACTATTAAAACGACAGGTGTACACAGAAGCGTGTATAGAAAGAGCTCCTTTGGTAGTTAATGCGCAAACTTGTGTACTTTAACACTCATCTACTACAAAAAAATCTACTCAGAACAAAAAATCATCTGCAATTGTCAATGAAATATTTACGGAAACAGGTTATACGAAATTTCTTCAAAAAGTTTGAGATATAAACCGCTTGTAAGAAACCCCTTTTCCTAAAACTACAATTTAGCAGGAATTTGACTGCATGGTAGTTGAACAAGAATATTAAAAAAGACATTTTATGAAATTAATCTTACAGTGGGATTTTTTAGTAGACCAGTGATATCTACTCAACTAAAAGATAAGTTACCTGGGTTTGATTCTTACGATGCTTCAGTGGAGATAGCTATGTTGGGGGTACTGCCAGTGAACTTAACTGTTCGATGAGTGAACATCTCGCAGCTCGGTTAGGAAAGGGTATGATGAAAACAATATGAAGCTCTATCATGGAACACCTGATTGATGGTGATGGACTGGTTGATATAACCGAATAATTTCGAGTTATTTATCGCATACCATAGACTCTTACATGTAGCAGCGGCTAAAAGGATCTGAATCACATAACCCTAGTTTATGTGTTCAGTAGATATTCATGACATCATAGTCTATTCTGTGGCTGGATATGACCTAATAAAAGGTTTTATTGATTGTTTTCATGTATTGTACCTAATTGCCATACTTCACCACCTTCCGTCTATTTTGTCAACATCTGATTATGTACACACCTTTTATTACTTAATTTTAGTAAATTTTTATCCAATTTTGACCTATTTCCAATGTTGACCTAATGATTATTTTATTATTCTTTTCACAACTAGTACGCCTGTCCTTTTACTATTAATTTGTACTTTTTACTTATCATGTGTAGTTATGCAATCTTGTTCATTCTGATTAACATCTCATAAATTACCTTGATCGGTTCAATATTTTCATATACTCATATAAACATTCATGTATATTGGTGAAAATCCTGATGATGATTTACTTGAAGACAATGCTGTTCGCTTGTATGTGCTGTCCTAATAAATTAGCTGTTTATTTGCAATGTTCTTAGTTTAATCATTAATATCAGAAGGGGTTTTGTAAAGATTTTAGGAATTTTCATATTTGAAATCATGAATCAATTAAAGATAGACCACTATGGAAAACCTGGAAGCACTGGACCGCCGTCTCATCCTATTGTGGGACTCCTCAGCCGTGTGCAACCACGATCCTGACTCACTAGATTCGAACTTGGGACCTATGAGTTTCGCGCGCGCGATAGCTTAACCACTAGACCACTAAGCCGGCATTCAACGGTGTTAATGTCTAACACCAATACATTCACGAAATTGAGCAACCATCTATCATTGTCCTCAGTGAGTTGATATCTCACAACAGACCATCAATAATAGTTGTGATATTGTTTTACTAAATGAAGTTCATATTTTGAGTTATAAAATCTTTATTACTCTTGTCATCATAAATACACAGTATTATTCTGAATGGGTGTACTTAAAATCAATAAGTTTATAATAAGGTGATCATCTCTGATTAAATTGTTTAATCAATGTCTAAGAAAATTTTAAAACATGTTACTATGCTAAATAAATTAAAATGTTGTCTTTTACTCCTATGATAAATTTTGGCATTGATTACCTAAGTAACTAAAAAAAAATTGAAAATTAATCATGAAGGACGAATCAAATATTTATTTCAATTATTTTAACAGACATTTTCAATTGTGTTTTGTTTTTTTCTCAAATTGTCCTGAACTCAAATCTAGACACCATATTGATCTTAATTCACATGTTAACAATCTACATCAATGTTATGTAGATCAGTAAACAAATAAGTTTAGTTAGTGTACACTATTTGTCTTGAATAATAAAAAAAAAAAAAGTGACTAAGAATTAGTAAATATGATGGGTATAGTAAACAAGATAACTCGTTATCAGGTCAAATCTCAATTTACATAATGATCAATTTATTAAATGAATCAGTTAGTTCTTGGGTTTCAAATGGTAAAAAGAAAAGAAATAAAGATTGATTCATTGATTGCTCGGTTTTAATGTTCAGTTATCGTATTCACATCAAGTGATCAACTGTAATGACAATATCAATAGATATTAGGTCTATTTCATAAGACGACGAAAGGCTAGCAAAGAAAATAGAAGGGGTCTTGTGTAAGGGTGTTCAACGTAAAATGGAAGTAACCGATTTGATTAAAAGTAGGGCTATCTTGTTGCGAACCAGTGTCTAAATCTACTTTTTGGGGACATATTTCAGGGATCCCCATGAACTTTGTTACTTACAATAGAAATTATTGTAATTTATTCAAAATCTGTTATAAAAATGACAATAATTCCTCTAGATTTGAGGTATACTCAGAGTCAAATATCTGAGAAAAGACTTTACGTTTTATAAATTTATTTTTCTTGACAACCATGACAGTAAATATTCACAATTATATGAAATAATGTCCTCTGAGTACGTACCTAGTTCTATAAAATCAGTCAAACTGGTATATACATATACTTTTCCTCTAGATATTGATAACAAACTTATGATTCTCTAGTCAGCACAAGCCTTATAGACTAGTCTAGCTGACTACATTCGGAAGTTTTTTAGTAAATTTAGTTAGTTAAAAAGTATCTAGTTATGTTAGCTTTTCATATTTTGCTCAAAGTGACCATTCCTTGAATAAAATACCAGGACAATTTATTTATGGTAATGCTTTTAGTTTGTCCTTTTCCTTTCCAACGTTATTCTAAGAGTAAATAGTTTTGATCTTGTCTGATGGATTCAGTCAGTATACACATAACGTCTTCATTGTTTGTAAGGATAATAATAGAGTCAACAACATAGAAAATGATAATTATCAATATAGGTTTGTGGAGATCGTTGTGTCTTAATTTTGATCATGTGTCCAATGTGCGGGATCGTGGATGCGTACTGATGAGGAGTTCAATACCAAGATGTAAAGGCCAGACAATGCTTCCAGGTTTTCAATGATGGTCTAACATTGATCATTTCATGATCTCAATTGAAAATGATAATATCTACATATTGGACATAAGTACTATTTGAATATTCCCAGGTAAACATTAATTCATCAGCTACTGATAATAAATTGGTACTCAGCAGTTATCTGGTGGTAATTTAAGTCTAAATTGTCATGTACATATTTGAATTATCCTAGAATATAACCCTACATCTGGAAGTTTCTCAGAGGATCAACTTAATGAACTGGAAGATTTATCATTTCTGCATAATCTGATAATATTTAGAATGATTCTCATTGATAATTGTTGGATAATTTTAGTTTGGAAAGTTTGAAATTACTGCAAGATGGAACAATCTTTTACCTAATTTCGACTGTTTTCTTTTTTTATATTAAATGCTCTGGGTATAATTCAGGCTAATATTTATAATTTTCTTCAAATCAATTGTAAATCTCAAGTTCAATTCCTTTGGGGATAATAATAATGTTTTCTAATTAAATCAATAAAAAAGGGTTGTTTGTGGAGATTTTTTGTGATTTTCATATATAGTTGAAATCATGAGTTGATTGAAGCTAGACCACCATGGAAAACCTAAAAGCAGTGGACCGCCGTCTCGTCCTATTGTGGGACTCCTCAACAGTGCGCATCCACGATCCCACCTCATGAGATTCGAACCCAGGATCTATCAGCCTCGCGTGCCAGCACATAACCGATAGATCACTGAGCTGGCCGACATCCAACGGTGTTAATGTCTAACTTCAACCAATTCACGAAGTTGAAAAATCTCACGATAGGACGAAACAGTCGTTCAGTGCTTCCAGATTTTCCATTGTGGTCTAGCCTCAATTAACTCATGATTTCAACTATATAAATTCATAAAAATGGCTAATTTATTATTTGAACTCACTTGCATCTGAGTCATGTTTCTCATGTTTTACTAACGGTTTTGAAAGTGGATTAATTTCATTCATAATTGGATAACTTTTTAATTCTATCTATGATTTTAAACAAGAAAAAACAAACAAAATAAATTTAAAATGATTTCTATTAAACACTTTTAAATTCATGAACTATATATTTAAGTCATATGTAACAGTTCAATAAAAGTTGTCCTCTTTTTGGTATCAGATTATTCCGATATTCAGAACAATTTTTTTTATGAATAAGAGTGTATAGTGTTCATAATTTATTAAACATTTGGGCATCGAATAACCCAACCACCGACTACCCCGACGTGCAATATTTTATGGTGTAGGAGCAGGCTGGAAGAAAGCTAGGGGCGGCCAGACCAAAACATGGTATAAATCCATGAATTCACCGACAAGTGGACTGAGCCATATTGGTAGGTGTAGACTACCTGGTTGGGATCCGCGAGATGTTAACAACCGATGGTTAGAGACCTTGAATGACATGGCTCAAAATCATTTGCAATGGCGAAGGTGCATCCACTCTTTGTGTTCTGCAAAATTCTAATCTTTTGAACTCTCCAAATTTATTTCACTGTATTATACTCCTTCAATAACATCTTCAAAACCCTAATCTTTCGGATTACTGCTTATACTCTTACTAATTCTACCACTGTAGGGTTTGAATCGACAACTGTATCTCTGTGCTAATTTGGTATGGCAACTCGAACTGATGCACGTACGTACAAAGTTCTACGTTGTGACTGATTGACTGATAATATCGAACAAATTAGTTAATACTCTTATATGGTAGCATTATTTATAACATAACTAGATATGATTATATCAAGAGCTAGAATTAAACTTTGTGACTAAAAGATTTGTGTTCATTACTGAATTATGAGGCTTGAGATTGGATCGTAATGATGAATAATAATTAGGGAAAATTTGTTTATAAATGTATGAGAACAACTTAATCATTAGTTGGGAAGTTGTTTTAGAAATAAGAACCTGTCTTTATGTCCCCTTTTAAGGGACATTATCTCTCACATACATATCGATGTTTGTTTTCTATGCGATGCCACCTATTAACTTGAAAGTAATTAATTATTATAAATATCGGTTTTACACTGAATGTTTTAGCATTGTTGAAATCATTCAAAAGTCATACATCTTAAAACAAAAGAATACTTCTAGTTTTCACAGAAATCTAGCCTTCAGTAAAGGAAGAAAAGAGAACATTACATTTAAAGGTAGAATTTTCACTCATAGTTCGTTTGATTAGTATCCTTTTTGTGATAGTTTGGGCAAAACATAACAACTTATTCTGAACAAAAAATTTTCGTCACGATTCCACATCAACTACACAATCATTGAAAACTAGGATGCGCTTTACATGAACTTCAACCTTAACTTTAGGTTGTCGATCGAACCGTACACTAATTATTTAATTGTTCTCCAGATTATATCAGTTTATGCAGAAAACTTCATTGGGTTTACATTCTATGGAGAGCAATACCATGTCACTTATATTCATAGCTGTAACATATAGCTTGATAATTACACTTTCATCTGCTAGAAATGACTTTCCTTACCTTCAGCACAGAACGTGAATGGAAACATGTATGGAAATTTGTTTATCTAAATGTTAATCTCTTTAATGTTCAGAAGACATCGATTTAAATTTGTTAATCAATCTGTTGATAGCTAAAAGTCATGTCTAACCACTCTTGTTTCTCAATCTTAGATTTTCATATATGGATCACGACTTATGATCTTAAACAAGTGCTTTCAAACTGGAATGCTACGTGCCTCTAAATTTCATAACTGAACAACATTTTTTCAAATGAACTAATAAACAAAGAATCTCTAAACTATAAACAATCAAGAAATACTTCATTTATTTTTAGTCCCTTGTCTGTTTTCTATGATGAAATAACTTAATTCGCCTCATATTTGTATTTCTTATTTGGATTCTCAAAAAGTTTACAGTGTTAACATTTACAATGATGCTCATAGAATCAAAGAAGCGAACTCATCTAATAATTCTCATCAAAGCTAATAACTTTTCTAATGTAATACATATACACAGTTAAAGTTAATAAATTGTATTTGACTGAATAAATCATAGAAGTATCATTCAAGTGAAAAAATCAAGTTGAAGCTGATTATTTACCTAGATGTCTTATGGAAAGATATGTTTAGCTGACTCTAAGTCAGGAGTCAGGCGTAGGATCAAGATCATATTATACTGAAATACTGAATACAATTTAAAAAAATGCTCTACAGAACTTTGTCTTATGAGTTTCGAGAAGAGACCCAAGTAGTGTTGAGTTTAGTACTACGTTAATTAATGAATATTTATTGTTGTTGATTTGCGAAATAAAACAAAACGAATGCTCAAAGCTCTATATTTTTCAACGGGTTTACAACTAGTGTCTGACTATGGTATATAATACCTTGAGAAGTTGTTGGTTAGACAAAAAGTGAAGATAAAATTTATGGTCACGGTGTATAGTTAGGTGAAGGTTAAAACATTTCATAAAGCAACACTATCGACCTTATTTTATACTTAGGTGTTACATATAAAAAGAACTAAGATGTAGAAGGCTTTTATTAGATATGACATTTTAATAGCCTTCACAATGTTTTCAGTTTGATCTGTTTGATTAGTAATAAGGGTAAGTTGTTGCAATATATGTGGGAGTATAAATGATAACTTTATTTACGTTACCAACATTTGTTATGTATTTTCATTGAATTATTGTTTCTAATCTTTTAATAAAGGTTTATTCGTAAATTTGTCAGGGAAACAACTCAAGTAGTCTTTTTCATTTCATTATAGTAAGTAAAGAATGTTCTCACGAATTCCAAGCGTTTGGTGAAATGTAAGTAGTGATAGCACTAGCTACGCAGCATGAACTTGTTAGGTCTTCAATCGAGTGAAATTTTTAAAACCGAATGACATTTGTGTGATTCAATCACCATAATAAGCTTCTTTGCATTACCATACACCATATATCATACAGTAAATTGCGTATTTCTACTTAGTTAGCATTTATAAAGCTGATATACAAAAATATCTTACCTCAAACTTGGTACTTTCCAGACCAGCATGTGTACAAGACCATAAACCTGCCAGTCGTTTGTCAGTTCGATCCACGTTTAAATTCAATACAACAGTACCATTCGGAAATTCAATTTTCTGACAAAATACTGTTTGGTCATGAGGTACACATCCAGCCTGATACTGTGTTGATTGCGTGCAAGGATTGGTCGGTTGACAACCTTGGTAACAATTCCCATCCGTCGTACTTTCTCCCAAGGCAGGACATGTCAAGTAGACTTCTGCGTCAGGTTTCGGATGATTTATACGACATGTAATTTGAGTAAAATTCTGACCATGATTCGCTTTCAACTCTGGTTTAAAATCTATTTGATAAGTATCTGTGTCATACAAAGATCTTTTGTGTTGTCTGTTTTCGATTCGGTAATAGCCAAATACTTTTTTACCTACTTCAAAGCTATGAATTCCTGAAAGAAATAAAATAGTAACAACAATGATGAGAGTTTCATGAAATAAATCACGTCATTAAAACGATAAATCGATTAAAATTTCAGCTTTTCCAGTAGGATAAACACCTAGTTTGGTTTAAGAAGGTCAGTGTTATCTTATGAAAAACGAATAGTGAACTTAGCTAATGATTTCAAAAGAATATCCGAAAAGTTTAGCTCAGTTTTTTGGGAAAATTTGTTATTACCAAATCAAGCATGAATTAATTCTTTATGACGCTAGTTCACTATGGTGTTCGACTGTATTCTAACTACGTGATTAGCGGATTAGTCATCTATAACATTTGTTTAAATGGTACATATATTCAATTTTCATTAATATATAATGCAAAGGAATCAGAGTGCTGAAATATTATTCTTAATCAACCTTTTGTATATCAAATAAATCTTTTAATCTTCTGTCTTTATTGAGTCGTATTTTACTCATGGATATATTTTTCAAAGTAGAAGACATGAGTTGCAACTGATACCAAGGGAGCTTCGATGTAGTCCACAGTAGATGTTTCGTGACATTGTCAGAAGAACGAGGAAACAGTTTTCGTCATATTATCCATAAAAAAATCTTGGATCATAAAAATATCATATCCATCTGTTCTTCTCTCACACTGAAATGTAAAAGTAGTAGTTTATGGATAATGTGATGGTTTTTTATCATTGGAACAAAATCATCGATCTACGTAATGTTTGTTTGTTTGTGAATAGTAGAAATATTATAACCAAGGTATAATTTTAAGTACCCAAGGCCTAGTAGGTTGAATGAGTGTACGAAAATATATAATTTGTAATTGCATCCTAGTGAATACATAATGATGATATTTTCACACACCCTTTTCGTTATCTACCTATATCTAACAATCACAAAAATTTTATATAAGGATAGTTAATGTTTTATCTGTCGAATTCAGCAACCATCTAAAGAGTCAATGTATAAAGATCACATAACTATCAATCATCTTTGAGGATCAGTAAAGGAACACATATTTGAATTATGACTTATGTTGTTTTCAAGCATATATCTATTCTTACTGAACTCAGAAACAACTCAACAAAATGGACCCATAAGATAACTTAAAAAAGAAGAATGTAAAATGTACTTTAAGTAGAAACTGTCTAATCAGTGAATTATTCAGGTAAATTTTATCAAAAATAGCCTAGTTTTGATCTTCATTCTCCTGTAAAACTGTCAGTAAACTCCAGATGAAAGTTACAAAAAGTCACCACATTTTGACAGTTAAATTCAAATAAATATCTATTCAAAAAGTAAAGCTTTTCATTTTCACTACTAGAAAAAACTGAACAAGCCTAGACGCATGGTTTACACGGTGAGTCTGAAGAAATATAGTTCAACTCTACTAATGAATTAATGTTTATAGTTAGGTGCTTAAGTTATAACAATCTATTTACCCAACACGGGAACTTTTATACAAAACTTAATTCAAAATAGCATATATTTTTCAGAATACACGAGTGTATATATATGCCAACCATTTTAAACACGAAGTTTATTTTATCATTAAAGTAGTGGGATGATCAAAGTTTTCATTTTCAAGACACCTTGAACATAGGTGTAAGAACTTTAATAGAAGCTCAAAAAGAGATTTTTCGGATCTATTTTTACAGATCACTTGTAAACACCTGAAGCAGTAATAACTGGTGTCTTCAACTCTTAAAGGTTCACATTAGCCGAAGAATTCGAACACTTGATTTTTAACCTGTTTCTTTAGTTGGGTTTCAGTAAACTATGAATTCCTTTTCTTAACTGAAAGAAAACTCAAATAATTCACGATTTAACAAATAAATAAACGTCTATGTGTCGTTTTTAATTATTCACCATTTATGCTCTTCATTTAAACAATATGTTTTAATAATATTAAATAATATAATACCAAACCAAACACTGAAAATATACAAAGAAATAAAAAAAACCTAAAAACAAAATATTAAGTGAAGCAACCAAACATATTCTAAACAAAATCAATGGAATAGACCTTGCATTATACAGGACATCAATAGCTTAAATGCTTCCAGGTTTTCCATGGTGGTCTAGCTTCAAATGAATCATAATTTCAACCATAAAAATTAATAAAATCTCCACAAAACAACCTTCTGGTAATAATCATATGCTCACTAGTGACTGGCTCCATGAGGTATTTCCTGGAGTTCTAGTGAGAAGCAGTGACCAGTGGAGTTTAAACAAGGTCTGTTGGAAGATATCAGTTCACTGAGGACAATGATGGACGGTGACACGATTCCGAGGATTGGTTGAAGTTAGACATCAACACCGTTGGAGGCCGGCTTAGTGGTCTGATAGTTAAGCGCTCACACGCGAAACCAATTGGTCCTGGGTTCGAGTCTCGTGAGGTGGGATCGTGGATGAGCACTGTTGAGGAATCCCACAATAGGGCGAGACGTCCGTCCAATGTTTCCAAGTTTTCCATGGTGGTCTAGCTTCAATTGACTCATGATTTCAACTATAAAAAAGTTTATGTAAGATTGCTGTAAATTTAATTTCTAAACATGACTAAGTTTGAAATTCTTCATCTTAAATAAAAAATAAAGACTTTTATAATAATGGCTCCAGTAACAGTATCAACAATTTACTTTATTAATTTATAAAGGCAAACACACAAATTTGTAAGTAAACAACACGATCTACATTGTTACCATGACATAATATATTTGAGTATATTGATTTTACACAAAAAAAGATAGGTGTCTAGTGTCTTATTGTCTGAATATTGATATGAGTAGAGATTAACAGTGAAATAGCAATTTTTTTTAATGAATACAATAAACAAAACAAAACGATTGGAAAAGGGTAGAAAATTGAAATCTTACTTAATTCATATATGCATTTTAGTCTGCATTGTGCAATGTGATGTTTCCATATTCATAAACAATAGAACAGTATACATACAGATTGATACATGAAAACGATATTTCATGTTACAATTACTCGTGTAAAATAAGCTGACATAGTTTCAGGTTGTTGAAAAATGAGATGCCTTTTTTTAAACTTAAAATTTACTACTACTTATTAAGTAAGTTTTTAAAAAAGTGATATAACATACTTTCTTATGTGCAGATACTAAATAAGATTAAACCGTAAAAAAAATGATGTGTTTAATTTGATTGGTTTATAACTTGGTAAATTGTCTTTTTTAGATCGGAAGGGGTTTTGTGGAGATTTCAGTATTTTCATAGTTGAAATCATGAGTCAATTGAAGCTAGACCACCATGGAAAACCTGGAAGCACTGGACGGCCGTTTCGTCCTATTATGGGACTCCTCTGCAGTGCGCACCCACGATCCCGCACTTGCAAGATTCGAACCCACGATCTACTAGTCTCGCGCCAGAGCAATAAACCGATAGATCACTGAGCTAACCGGCATCCAACGGTGTTCATGTATAACTTCAACCAATCCACGATGTTTGGGCAACCGTTCATTAATTGTCTTCAGTGAGTTGATATCCCACAACACATTTGGTTGAACTCCACTGGTCACTGCTTTTCACTAGAACTCCAGGAAACATCCCTTGAAGTCAGTCACTAGTGAGCATATGATTATAGATATCTAACAACGGATGACATTGATTGCTTCATTTATTTATTCTTTTTGTTCATATTATGAACAAGGTCATCCATATATTCGTTTAAAAATCCCCATCATTATTAAAAGACTAATATTTGAACGAAGAATATTCTTTTCGATGAATTGTCTTCAGGTTCTACAATTATATATCCAAGTAAATAATCCGAAAAAAGGTGGCCAAGTTTAAGGCAGAGTACATCGTTTAAAGCATGTAAATTTAGGATTGTCAAACCAAAGAGAATAAAATTGTTAGATCTCATACATTTCTCATTTACGTTTGGATCATCGGCTAGTTGTTAGTGTTGTATGAAATCTCAATATTTTCATTGCATCAACTATTTCATAGAGTGAAAAGATAATGGTTTCTTTAAGATCTGAAGGAGTATTTATTTATTTAAATCCAGAATGACATTTTAAAAGGTCAATGAAATTCGATGTGAAACAAGTATTACGCTTATATTCAAATGAACACAACCGTAAAATATTAAGGCAAGCTAGAGACAAATAACTTCCTTCTTTTATTCATATATATATATATATATATATAAAAATGAAATCATCCTAATTACGTAACTATCGTTAAATTTATCTTCATTGTCAAGTAGTTAATATAACATATAACTTAAATACCAGAAGGGGGTTTTGTGGAGATAATAATCATATGCTCACTAGTGACTAGATCCATGAAGTATTTCCTGGAGTTCTAGTGAGAAGCAGTGACCAGTGGAGCTCAAACCAGGTCTGTTGGGAGATATCAACTCACTGAAGACAATGATGGACGGTTGCTCAATTTCGTGGATTGGTTGAAGTTAGACATTAACACCGTTAAATGCCGGCCAGCTGAGTGGTCTAGTGGTTAAGTGCTCGCACACGAGACTGATAGATCCTGGGTTCGAATCTCGTGAGGCGGGATTGTAGATGCGCACTGCTGAAAAGTCCCACAATTGAACGAAACGGCGGTCCAGTGCTTCCAGGTTTTCCATGGTGGTCTAGCCTCGATTGACTCATGATCTCAACCATATAATATAACATAATTGTTTATTTTTTAATGTCACTTGATTTTCACTGGATAGTAGAACTATCTTACCGTCAATCATTTTTATAAGAAAACCAATAATCTAAACAAACTCTGACCAATTGAATTATTAAATTAGGGATTATATACAACATAGTTTTAATCATGTAACTCTCTTTGATGTAAAAGCCTTTGTAAATTACACAAATCTTTAGGTGGTGACGGACGAAACAGTTAAATTTCCTCATTAATTTTACTAGTGTGGTAAAAGCCGATTAGAAAGCTGACCGCCCGCATGGCTCTTGATGAATCCTGCTTTATTTTTTAGATTAATTGAAGTATAAAAGATAGGA